ATATATATATATATATATATATATATATATATATATATATATATATATATATATATATATATCTGTTGAAATATGCTTTAAATATATGTTCATGTCTTCTTTGGACTTCCATACACATCTGCAGATCTATGGACAGGAAACTAAATCATGTTAGTGGATGGAAAAACAAAGAGACCACATAAAAGAAGCCAGTGGAGGAGCTGCTGTATGACGGTCAGTCAGTGACATGCATACACAATGAGGTTATCTTTGTGTTTCCATGGAAGAGCACACAGACATGAAATAGGTCGGTTTTGGACAGGGTTGGCATTTTGCGTGTGTTTCGACATTGTACCCATTGCTCCAGGTTTGGTGAGAGGAATCCGGGAAACATCAACTGAGGGAGCAACCATGAAGAAAAGTAGACAAAAAGATGAAAGGCAGTGAAGGAAAAGGAGAAAACTCACCACAAAAGATAAATGATCAGATTTTTTTTTTCTTTTTTGTAGTTCTGATTTGTGAGTCCAACCAAATTTTAAAATCTATTATACAAAAAACCCTCCAAATTAAATGTAGTTACTCCCAACTCCACTCTGAAGAGTGTCAACTATAGAGTGTTGACTATATGACAGACTCACTGAAAATGATTATCTGATTTCTGCAGCAGTCAGTGTAATATTACCTCGTCTAGCACATGTGTGGCGCTGAAGATGTCTCCCTGTTGATGAGACAAGTTTCATCTTCAAGACTGAAAATATCCAAATAAACAAAGAAAGAGTGGGACAGAAGATAAACTGACCTCTTGTCCTGGAATGTGGTGAACTGCTGGCTGCAGACACAAAACAGTGTGTTATAGCTTCAGAAAAACAAACATGTATAACAGTAGCTTCATGTTGCACTGTTTTGGAGGTTTAGAATGGTGTGTATTAGAAGTGTTGTGCTGTGGGGTAAACCTCTTCTTTCATTCCAGACAAACACAATCTTTATCATGACAGAGGGCTACCTCTCACCTTTTCTCTACGTAAGAGCTCAAAAGCGGCCAGCAACTCGCCGGCGCTCTTGTCTCCTCGGCGAATTGGGAACCAGGCCAGCCGGGGCGAGGGAGTCAGGGAAGGCTGGCACACACAGCGGCCCATGAACTCATCTGCTCCCTGGACATTGAAAACCCAGCAAAAACATTAACAGCCAGTGTTTTACAGCAACCCGAGTGAAGCATCAAAGGTTCATGGCTACTGTGAAAGCAGGGCCTGTCCAGCTTTAGTCTAACACAAGAGGACATGCACGCATACAAATGAAATGTTGACTGTGCTAGAATTTCAACACTCACATATGTGTCCTGATCATAGAGCTCCACCGTGACATTGGGAGGATTGGCCAATGTTGCATCGGGGTCCCCAAAAATCTCGATCTCATAGAAGATTAGTGTCTGGTCCCAGGTGGGATTGAGGGAGTTCCGCACAGTCACCGTTTTCTGGGACTGATGGAGGAACGACACAATGGCATAGGAGTCTAGAGGGAGGGGGAAAAAAAGGCACAGGTTTGATATTCTACTTCTCCTTCTGAAGTTTTAAACCTCCCATACGGTCAAACTGACACTTCAGGAATGACCAGCAATGACACAATGAAAGTAACAATCAGTGAAATATTAAATTATTTTGTCCTCATCAGGCCAGGAATTTAGGTAAACACAACTAAAAATGTGTAACACAAACTATGTATAAATTATCTGACCCCACTATTCAATATGTAATCAAAACTGTGGAATCACATATAGTTTAGTTCTAGTAACAGGTTTTTAAAGGTTTTCAGAAATCTTGATGAAAATTTGTTTTGGGATCATTTTTCCTGTTGCATGACCTAATTAAAGCCCCAAATTTGTTATTCGGGTCATGTGGCTGCAACAATAGCCTGAATCATCAGCCTTCCACCTCCCTGCATGACAGTTATTATGAGGCGTTTGCGCAGGTATACTTAATACTCAATTTGATGTCAACGCATCTCTATTCAGTGAAACATTTTACGCAATCAGATGATAGAGTGGGGGATTAAGTTCTTCCTGTGCAGAATGAATGTACTTTAATGAGAGTCCTCTCAAGTATAGCTAAAAATACCAATGTATTCCAATGTCCACACTGTCCTGGCATCCCACTCAGTGACATCAGTGGCTTGGGAATGCCAATCTTGAGACGGAGTGATGGGAACACTGCTATGAGAAGTTTGTTGTTCCAGGTCATGGCCACTCTTCTCAGTGTTAACACGTGCACTACTAAAAGTGTGTGTGGCACATGCATAAAAGCACACACGCACATACAGTTACTCGGACTGAACGGTTTGTTGTTTCAGGCTGAGTAACGAGTCTCTGCGGAGCCATTAGCATCGGAGTAAACAGAAGTTAAAATGCTTTTTCCCACCAGCCCTCAATTAACCCTGTAGCTGATACGCACATGCACACTGTACAGACACACCACCCATGGTGACCCATTCAATTACCGTCCATTCCCAACAGCCTATTTGCTCATAGGGACAGCCATACAAACAGCCCGGAGAGGAGGGGTTCATCTGAGTCTATGTGTGTTTATGTGAGTTTGCAGAGGGGAGGCAGGAAATTGCAGTAGTCAGTGCACCAGTGGGTGCAGCAGAGCTAGAAGCACGCAGTGACAATAGGGGGGTCCTAAGAAAAGTATATATCCGTATGCATTCAGCCCAGTCTCCAAAGAAATAATGTGTTATATAATAACAAATCAACACATCTAGACTTTAGCTGTATCCCTGTAAAGAGCAAAGGAGATTCTCTTTGGGGTTTTCTTTACTGTCAGACTGCTCTGTAAAGCTTTTCAACTACACTGTGGGGAAAAAAATCGGCATGAAAAAATGAATGTTAGTTATGTGCATGTATTCGATTTATTACAGGACCAGGATGTGTATTTATCTGTGGCAACCGGCGTCCAAATGCATCTGTGATGAGAGCCTGCAAACACAAATGCTTCTCCTTTCAAGATAATTCCAGCATAAAATTACCGTCCAATATCTCCAAATTCAGAGAAATGTTCATAATTCAGTCAGGCACACAGAATCCAAAAGTTATCTGATATATCCTGTTAGTGACAAGGTTTTATATCTGCTTTGCTTTTGTCTTTTTTTCCTTATTGACTTTTGATGAAAATAAAGGTGGGAAATATTTAAAAAAATACCTTCAGACCTTGAAAGAGAACTCGTGAGGCCTCTCTTACAGGGATAAATGAACTGAGTGCTGCTTTAAACAAGAGACGAGAGGAGGAATAGCAAGTAAAAATAGAGAGCATGAAAACCATCAGTATTTGGTAGCTGACGAAGTCTTTAATCATGGCCACGAAAACGTCATGTAATACCAGATTAACACACAACCGGAGCCCATCCATCAGCTCTACTCATCCGTTACAGAGAGTTTTTGTGTGTTCGAGTGAGCTAACGGCTAACGAGGCTGAGTGTAGATAGTGATTTATCACTACTTTGTTGTCTGTATCCCTTCTGACGTTCCCTCTTTGTAACCCCGTCTTTGGGCAAGCTCTCATCTATCATTTTTCTCCATGCCGTCTAGCCATCCTTCTGATTTTAAGAGCTGGTTTTATGTCTGAGTCTGTGGTGAGCTCCTGATTAATACACACACAGTAGCCAGAGTTTCCATGACTTATCTAAATCAAAGGGTAAACCTTCTTCTTATTTCTTTGTTGATTACAGCCACAGCCAGACTGTTGTATAATCAAATCATAATTTCTAATGCTATTAACTCCGGACACCCACATCTTTCTTTCTCCCCTCCCGTGGCTTTATAGATACATAAGTTTATTTAGAATTCCTGTCCTTTGATTTCAAGGCCTGATTGTTCTTTTTACTTTGTACGAGCTCTGTTGCCCCTCGTCTGAGTGGCATGGTTTTGGATAAAAGGTTTGATGAAAGGTAAATAATAGAAAGGTTTTGCATGCATTCTACCAATGTCCAATATGTAGCATATTGCAAAACAGAGTTTTCTGCCACTAGATGGCACAAGCTACCAGAGCTGAGCTGGATGGGAGCCAGGCTCTAAACTCTTACCTGAGAAGCTGTCTTTGTCCATGGCCGGCAGCTCTCTGGCTTGATACAGGTAGCAGCGCAGATGGTAGCGGGTGCCGCCTACACACAAACACAAAAAACACATTAAACGTACAATGAAAGGAAGAAGTAAAAGGCCCACGAGGTGGAAAATCCGAGCAGCAAAAAGAGTGTGCTGTCTTACGGTCAAAGAAGCAGGAAATGGTTGGTCTGTTGACTCCAAACGTTGTTGTGACAGACTTGTCGTCATGTTTGTCCTCTATGCTGCTCTGTATGAGGAAGAAGAGGGTAGAGATCATCAGGATGATGGTAAAATGTACACCACATTCTCATTAAAAATCTATCAAGCACAAGCATGTTACTTTCTTCCCTCTGTTTTCAAATAAAAGGGTGATGATCAATATGATTCTAAACCTTTGAAATTATTTACTTCAAATTTGGCAACAATAGAGTGCTCTAATTGCCAAAGTCAGGTCCATTCATCCATGCATTTCAACATTAGATGTGGATAAACAGGCTGCATGTAGCTGAAACCTCACACCCATCAGGTTCGCCTTTGCACCCCCAACCGTGCTTCTCAGTGGAGCAACAACTTGAAATAACATTTCAAACCATGAACTGCTGCACTGTGTGACTCTGAACTGGTAGCCAGACATGAAGTCTGATGGCAAGCGTGATAGATGCTGAAAACCTTTCTCTAGACATGGTTTCAACTGAGACCTCACCAGAGAACACTCCAGAGCAAAGATGGCCGCCGGCCCCGTCTTCTCCAGCGGCTCCATGCGGCACCTCCACCTGCGCCTCCTGAAGCTGTCTGTCTTGCGGGGCTTCAGGTGGAACCTCCAGCCGAACAGCGAGGCGTACTCCCAGCCCTCTTTCTCCGCCTCGTCCGGTCGCTGCTGTGAAAACAACAGACATTTCAGCAGTTCAGTCACGTCTTATGGCAAAATGGCTTGCTGTCTTTTTCATTTTTTTTAGACCTTTGTCCCAGCTGGAACACATAAGTCATTTGAACCTGTTCTCATTTGTGGAATTTGTATACCATCTAGTGGTTTGAAGAGGGGACTTCAGCTGAGAATGAAATGTCTGATAAAAGTGAGGAAAGAGTAGCAACAATTTTCACTGTAAGGTTTTATGTTTTTAATCATAAAAGCTGCCTTTTTAAAAACATTGAAAAAAGAAAGATAAACTATAGAAGGAGATAAATAGACAATAGAAACTGGAACTGATACTTCTTCTTTTACCTTTTACAAGTGAGAATATAAAACAAAGATCCCGGCAGAAATAATTGATTTAATCAGAAAAAGACTTAACTTTGTGCTCATTTGTCATCAACCCCTCTGGATGTTCAGTCTGGCTTCTCCCCCCCGATACCTTTCTGAGAGCCTCCATTTTCTGCTGGTCTCGTCTCCTCATCCGTATCCATCGTCTTCGGCGGTTGGTGTGGTACATCTTCTCTGCCGGCACCCATGACTTAGGACGGCGATCGGGGGGAATAGTGATGCCATACTCCCAGCCTGAGCACACAAACGTACAAGCACAGGACTTATTATAGGGTCAACCTTATTTCATCACCAATATTTCTTTATTCTGACTTTGAATGCATTTGTGTGCTTGCCTTGATCGTCCACGGCCCTGTTGAGATCCTCACTCCACTCCACCTCCTCCCAAACCCAACCAGGAGGACATTCCACCTCATCCTTTGGCATAGCTTTCTCCCCATTCTGTCACACACAAATGTCAGATTTACTGAATGAATGATGCTACAATAGGTACACTAACACTCACACACTTACCACATCAGTGTATCCTTCTGGCATGCCGATCCACTGTCCGCCCGGCAACCTCATCTGGTTTTCAAACACTTCCTCTGTGAAGGTCATGTGACCAGCGTCCACATCAAAAAGCAGTCTGAGGTATTTTCAGCACAAATAAGTCTAGTTAAAAAATAAACTTCAGTAAACATTTATTTTCAAATTAACCTAAGAAATAGGTTCCAAAGAATGTGCATGAAACTCTAAAGTCCTGAACCTACCACCAGAGAAAATCTGGCCACTTTTGTTTTTCGGGACATCACCTATTTTAACATAGTCTGAACATTCACAATCAACTTTATTCTATTGCAATTGCGCACAATGCTTCAATTTTTTATTTTCACACCAGTGATCAAATACTTTTCCTATGAAATGTGTATTCAAAAGAGTGCTTGAAAATGTCAGCCACTCACGTCCTCTCTGGGCTTATGAACCATTCTCCAGCCCAAGTCCAGCCCGGTGAAGGCTTGAAGCTCTCTTTGGGCAGCTTCACTCGACCGGTGACATCACTGAATTTTGGATAGGTTAAACCCGTCGTACCCCAGCTGCCCACCAAAGCAAGGCGAGTCTGGTTCTCATACTGCAGAGAATCAGGTTCCACTTTCAGCATCTGTCCAGGCTTTTTCTTTATCCCATGATTGATATAATTTACATGCCTTTTCTGTTAAAAAATCAAACTTATACCTGCAGCATTTACAATCAGCTATAGTAACCTTAAGTAAACTTGTGTCAGGAAATCAAATATCCCACTAGTTAAAAAGTCATATGTTGTCATGTGACTCACTGTTTCTGCAAACACGGACAGTTTTCCTTCAGCATACTGGTTGAAGTGTTTGACATCGACAGCCAGCCCAAACCACACTTTGACCCTCAGCTGACCGGGAAGTTTGGCTTCTGCTCCGCTGCTTTGCGGGTACTGCAAAGCAAACAGTTGTTGAACAGTTATCCATGCATCATGCTGAGAAGTCTATGTGTGTGTGTGTGTGTGCGGGGGTTTGAATATACTTTCAGAAAGACGGTCTGCAGCTGTCCACAGTGTTTCCCACAGTACTGCTGGGAGAAGAGCACGGTGTGTGCCGGGATGCGGTGGTACGCCACCCTGCGGTCACCCTGCAGCATCCATATCACAATGTCTGGAAGACTGTTTTGGGGCTGAAACAGACAGAGCATAATTGATCTTCATTGGCCTTTTTTACTGGCAACATGGCAGCAAAAAAAAAAAAAAGGTAACTTTCTATTTCTACAAAGGCAACCAAAGATGGCATATTTTAACAGACTGGAAAAAATACAGTTATAAGTTGAATTTGAAAAAAAACATTTCAACAAAATGTGATGCAAGTCCTAAAAAAATTGGAGCTGAATAAGTCAGAGGCAAAAGAAGAGTTTGTTAGACTTAAAAACTGTGCATTGGAATTCTATTTTGGCAAATATTTCTGACAATCCTGCCGGTTAAAAGTATCTTCAAAGGTGTACATCAGCCACTTTATCACTTATCTGATGAAAATTGTTTATAATGAATAAAAACAATCACTGAATTGTTTGGACAAAATTCTTTTCAAATGACGGTATTTGTTGCCTTAAAGCAACACACATACCTCCTCGGTGAGAAGCTTGAGTCTGTTGGCCCAGTCTTCAGCCTGCTCCAACACTGTGGACAGGTCTGTTTCGGGCCCGTGTTTGAGTGCTTGAGCCGCAGCAACGATCTGCTGTAGGTGGAGAGTTCGAATGTGCCTCAACGACCGATCCAGGGGCGTGGCACACTGCCAGTGATCGATGGCAGGTAAATCCTCACTGTGAAGAAAGAAAAAGAAAAGAAAAGAAAAGAAAGAGTGGATCAAAACACATGAATGCAATGAGTGCCAGTGACTTTCTGATGGGTAGATTCAACAGAAAACGCAAAGGGTCAACAGTAAAAGTAACTTACCTGCAGTCTGTGATGAGCTGGTCCAACATTTCCACCACTTTGAGCTCCACCGCCTCCATGTCGCCGCCTGACTTCACCTCAAGCTGCACGCGCTGCAAGTTTGACTCCTGAACACAAATGCATTGTTAAAGTGAATATTTGTTTTGCATGGAAGACATCTTGGAGCTAAAACAAAAATGCTTGCCATAGCATTTAGTTACATTTGATTTAATAAATGTTAAATTTGCTATAAAAAACAAGCTCCTGAAAACTCCAAAGGGATCTTTCAAGAGTTGGGTTTGCTAAATGTTTCTCAGTTTTTAGTGTCCAGATGTCATAACACAATCTAAAGCAGGTACAGCATCACACACCAGTCTGTCCACGATATCCAGCAGCATGTTGAGAGCCTCAATCCTCGGTCGAATATCCTCCCACTCTGAAGCCAAAACCACCACTGGCTTAATATTTCCCCAGGGAAGGTAGTAGTAGTGGCAACCTGAAATACATGAAAGTCAAAGCTAGAACTATTGCCTAATAATTTCGCCAATGCATTTATTCTAAATTTAGATGATATTACAACCTAGATCAGTCTTAAATTCTAAGATCAGAGATTAAAAAGGGATTCCACATTTGAAGGGTACTACGTAAACACATAAAAAGCCGAGCACATGTCTGACTCACCATCAAACACAGCCCTGCTGAACTGCGTGGTGGAGGCCAACGGGAGGCAGGTGTAGTCAAACTTGTTGCCATAGTTACCGATGCTGACCTCAAACTGAATGGCATCATCGACGTCCTGAAGGAGCGTGGCCGAGTAAAACGCCACAAATAGGGAGAACTTCCTTTTCCTGAGAAACTTCTGTGAGAGATTGAAAAAGAGGGATGGCATCCATCGTCCAGATAAACAGGTATTCATGTCCTTCTTTTCTCACCTCCACAACCAAAAGGTCATCTGATGGTATGTCTTCAGTTCTCTGCTCTGGCTTGTCCACCAGTTTTGTGGTTAGTTCCAGTAGAACTCTCCCTCTGTATGCCACGCCCTCACCCTGTCACAAAAGCTCATTTCAGTTTCTTTTATAGTTTTTGCTCAACTGCATATATTTTCTTCCTAATAAAGGAACAAACTGGGATAAAAACAAACCATCCGTAATCCATGACTTCAGATTTAATTTTTCATTGAAGAACAATTTTACAGAACCAGAAACTCCAGAACCAGCAACTGTTAATCAGTAACACGTAAAACTGTGTACCTGTGTTCTGTAGATCTAAATGACACTAAAACTCTGACTTTGCTTTGAAAAAAGATGAAGGGTGTGAGGTTACTTTTCCCAGGTTTAGTGTCTCATGTGGGTCGTTGAATGCGGTGAATTCTCTGAGGCTGCCGTACAGGTTGACAAAACATGGGCCAAAGGTTGGAAGAAAACCAAGACTGTCATCAACTGCAATGACAGAGAATGGACAGAAAGTTTATTATCAGCACGTAAAATATAGAGCTCATACATATGAATAAGGAAAGACTTCTTTTCAGATAAGGAAGATAAGGTAAACTGGTTGAAAAGGATCATAAAGTTTCTAATTTCTCCAATATATGGATGTCATTCAAATAGATTTGAGATTTTTAAAAGAAGAAGAAAATGAATCGTTATACAGCTGAAATCTGAATGGTTTCACACAAAACGAAGGTGATGTAGAGAGGAGGGATGGACATACTGCCAGAGTGGACGGTCCGAGGAGTCAAGTCATCTGAATGCGTAGAGAGGAAGGATGGTTAAGAATTCAGACTCAGAGAGGAAACAGGTGTCTTTGAACGCAACTCAAACCCAAACAGAGGCAGAATTCCACAAACATGCCACTCAGTGCATGATCATTCAGCTGGTTTTATGAAGACTTCAAACAAGACTTAAAAATGTCAATTTTCATCATGATGCACTGCAACGGCAACAAAACAATACCAATATATATAGTTTAATCAGCTTTATGTTATTTCTCCTTCACTTTGCGTCTTGGAGCTGTCATGGATCATTATCAGCCAATATTTTTTTTTCTTTTCTTCTTTTCTATTTTTAAATAAGTTATTCTTTCCTGAAAAACACTACAAACATTTTGATGTCTCAATGCACGCATTTGTCTAATAAAACCAGATGAGCTGACCAATCAGTGCAGCCTGGGCTGTTTTAGAATAGGGCAGGCCTCCATAGGTTCTGATTTACGTGAAAAATGTTAATAATATACAGCACTTATGGAGTGAGTTCATGAAGTTCATGAAAAGCGAAACATGGTTTAAAAAATTTGTGTCGCAAATGCCAAAAAACCCTGGTCTGTTTTATATGCTATGATCAATACCAGCTATATCATTTGAAGGCATGTCATAATTAAGGTACACAATTATATAATTATATATATTACTATTAAATAGTTCATCAAAAGAGAAAAAATGCTGTGAAACAAAGAGGTTGAAAATATGATGAAAAATATTTTTAACCACTAATTCAGAGCAGAAGGCGTCTAAAAGTTAAGTTATTGTAAAACTACAACTAGAGTAAAACCCAGACATGCTGGCCTCTCTGGACTGAACGCTTGTGTTACTCCTTCAACAAGGCTTTCCTTTCGCTTTGGGCAATTATCGCTTTCTATTAAGTTTCACATCAGTTTGGTTCAATTATTTATCCATTACAGTATATCTTATTTTGTTCATGAACATATTGTTCTGTTTCAAGCATCTTCACTCTCTGCCCTCCTGTAATCAGTATTTACTCTCTCTGTGTATTTCTTATAAAATATTCACGGCCTTTCTTGCCTTGTGAGTGTTGCCAGTTGCCTTTTTGGATACCTTTAACCATGTATGGTATTACGAAGCACTGCTACTATATCAGTTATTTGAAGTTTTGAGTTATCTGCCCTTCTTCCTTGCCCTGATCCAGACAAAGATGTGATACACGCCACCATCAGTGAGCAATACCCAGGCATGATCCACCAAAGACCCAAACCAGGCAATGTCAGTTTTTGGCACTCAAATACTTTAAGGTTAGATTTCATGCTTATACAGCAACACAATCTCCATGCTTTGATATGTTCACGAAACATAAACTTTTCCAATGATGCATAAGATGATTGTTTAGGAAAACTGATGACCAACTTATAGGGAGTAGAACACAAAGGGAAGCCAACTAAATCTGTATGAATGTTTGATGATATTTCATTCTTTAAAAAAATGTAAGCCTAGAACTAAACCTTCTTTCCTCCCTTAAAATAAAGCCCACTGCTGGAAGAGTTAAGACAAAAAGAAACTCAGTCACAGTCACTATGTTGATCTTATTATCTAGAAGATCTTCTGAGAAATCGACTAAAACCAAATCCTTCAGACAGAACACAACATCTTAGGTTTACAGCAAGCACATTTGTCTCTAGTGTATTCTTTTTTTCCTTATGTCCACTATATCTACCCCAACATTGTGACAGAATACCACAACAGTCCAAGAAACTGGACACACTATTTACCACAAACTATCTGATCTAAATACACGTTCACTTTAAACGTATATAGAATATATTTACACATAGCACCAATAATCCAACACCAACAGTTAAGTTACCAACTGCACAGAGAAGCACCTCAGTAACTGTCTCTGACCCATGAGTGTGTACAACTGAAGGCACAAAGCTGCCGTCTTCGCTGACTGCTTTTCACCTTATGTCTCAGAGAGAAGGTTATAGATCAAATGGGCTCATTTCCTGAGCATATAAGGTAAAAAAAAAAAAAAAAAAAGCTGAAAAATAAAAAATTTGTAGCTCCATATCCAAAGGAGCCAACTCCTGTGTAATCATATTTTTTAATGATGCAAACCATTCAGAAGACAGAGATTCTATCTCAGTTGAGTGAGATAAAGCCTGTTTGGTCACAACTTTGATGCGTGTGACAATCAAACCCACCACTCTGGTGCAGACAAAACAGAACCAAACGAGACTTGGCTGGCCAGGACCAGTCCAGTTCAAAGTGCTTCCTTTGGGCAGTACATACTTACCATCTATCTCCCCTCCAGGAGCAGAGATTGTCGACATACAGAGGTGGGTAGTGCCTATGACATCATTGTGACTGGCTCTGTCCCTGTAATGAGAAAGAGGAAGAACCCAGAACATTTATGTGTTTTCACAGCTATGTTTTTTTCATAAACTGCTATATAATCTGTCAAGTGAGGTCACCCCCTTCAGTGTGGTTTGCTTTCAGCAAATGTCACTTTCAAGTGTATACGTAATTCTTTCTAACTGTGTAACCTGTAATTAGCTGTGACAAGAAGAATTGGTCTTCTGATTGGATTTATGGCTCACATTTCTACAGTTCTACATCTACTGCAGACTTTAACACATTATAATGTGTCTGTTGAAATCACTAATTAAAATAAAGTTTTCCTCTGATATTTGAAACATTTATAGGCCTTCACTCTTTAACATAACTCTGGCACGTGTGACTGCTTTAAACCCTATTTCTAAATACACGTTCATATTTAAAATAACATTTCATAAAGGAACTAGGATTCACCAGTCCACAATTCTGACCCTCATCTTCTCACACATGGAGGGAAACTATGAAAGAAAAGGAGGGGAAAGAATCAGTACAGCGATCGGTCCAGTTTTTTAGCACCAGTTTGCACATTCCACTTCTGTAGCTCACTCTAATTGGAAGCGCCAGGCTCTGGTTCCATTGTGGATTGGCATTTTTCTCCAGGATTTTTGTGCAGACCTGAAAAAGAAGACAATGCACTATTGCATGAGAAAGGTAGTTTTTGTATTTGAAGTTGAGCTTGGACTACAATCTTGCCAGGTTGAAACGACCAATGATGAATATAAAAAAAAAGTCACATGTACCGTTTTGCCAGCAAAGTGGATCTCCACCATTGGATCCACCAAATTCTTCCTGTTTGTGTCAAAGCCCAGAATCTGCCTCATCCCATCCATGAAAGCGTCGTCCACTGCAGGAACAAATGGATACCATCTCAATTTTCATGTTTCAAGTAGACAAACTGACAACGAACACACACAGTGCAGATTTACTCTGTGGCAGGTCTTCAGCTCTGAAGATCCGCAGTGTGAAAACAGCTCCTCTCAGAGAAAGACCAGCCGGCCTCAGCAGGTTTCCTTCTATGTCCTCCTTTTCCTCCACACACTCCCGTTTGTCAGCCTGGAAAGAGACAACATACAATAATTAATTTATGGCCACAATAACACACAAGGAAAATCAGATCCATCTGGAGTAGAGCAGCTGAACGTTATTGTCGTGGAAAAGCTTTTCATGTCCTCAGTCACAGCTCTCCAGTTGATTGGTCAGACTCACCGGTGGCTCGTCTCCAGCAGCCAAGACAAACAAGCTGACCTTCAGGTACCCTCGCACGCCAGCGGAGAGATCATCGGGGTCACACAGCAGCAACCATTTCCTCAAGAAGCAATGTCCTGAAGAGACGGAAGAGGCATGAAAGCATTAGTCCTGAACAGTTTTTCACAAACTCAACAGTTAATTCTCACCAAAAAACATACTCACTGTGCTCATTGTACACAGTACCAACATCCAGCTGGGAGAAACAGCAAAAAGGTTCACATTTAGCTGACATTCCAATTTTCTCTGACCATATCTTCAAAAAGTCAACAAAGGTTAAACTACAATAGTTATACTCTCAATTTGTTTCTCTTGCATACCTTAAATTCGCCGATCACAGCGTCAGTTCTCAGAGAGCGAGAATCACACACCTGTCAATCAAGCAGAATGAAATATCTTAATCCCATTTAGCTTTGATTTCCAGTAAATTGGGAAAAAAGTCACATAGAATTAAGCAGCAGTGATATTCTTTTGACTTATCCATGTCCATTGTTGTGCACAAAGTCTGAAATCTTTACTCACAGTGATGAAGAGTGGTTCGTCAAACAGGTCTGAAGGGGTCTCAAAGAAGTTCAAGAAGAACGTCTGTGATGGAAAACAATACAAGCTGCAGCTGGACAGGAAAAATATCGGAACCAAAAACTACCCAGAGAGAAATATCTGTTTTGTGAGTTGTTTACCTCATCAAAGACTGGGTTGTTGCCCTTTCTAATGCGAGTCCGCTTGGTTTGCCCGGATACTGCCAACTTTACAACAGGTTTGATGTTGATGCCTGGCAACTGTCGAGCCTCGATGACCCGCACACGAATCTGGACAATTCAGGAAATCAAGCCCATGCAATGAATTGGAAAAAAAATCAATCTTAAATCATATTCCGTTGTTTTATTTGGGGAATAACCCGAAGAAAGAAGCAACCTGTATGTCCTGAGGTTTGTTTGGCAGCTCTTTGGGCCGACCACCGGCTCCTCTCCTCCGTCTCTTCAGCCCTCCATGGGTGTGGTAGGACGGTGGTGAGCGCTTAGGGGTCTGAGCAGTAGGAGACTCCCGGCCGGGGGGCCCCTGAGGGCCTACAATCACCATGGAGGAGCGTCCATCATCAGGTCCCTGGTCCTCTATGGCCTCCACCATAATCATACTTTCTGTATCTTCCTCACCCAAAGTATCCAGAGAAATCACTGCTCAGGCGGACAGAAAATAGCCCCAGAGGGGACAACACGGGGAATGAGCTGTTTGTGAATGTGAGAGTGATACAGTGAGTTTTGCGGACAGGTGCTGATAAACTCTTCCACAAATCATATTACTTGTGACGGTGTCAAGCTCCACATTGGGGTTGTTATGGGACATGGAATCTTGCTGGGGAGGCGGGTGGTAGATCGGAGCTGAACCCGGAGGAGGGATGTAGGAAACCTGCAGGGTCAGTGTAGCCTGGTGGAGACAGAACACACACATTTTATTCAGGAGAAAGACACATTGGGAAGTGGCAGAAGTGGAGTAGTACTCAATCAGGAGAACAATATCGCTACAATTACTGAATACAGATTTATGCAGCAGTGGAGAGTGCTTTAGGAGACGCTTTTTCACAATAACAACCAGCTTCCTTGACTGTATGAAGTATGGCAGCAGCTGGGTTTGGTGCCTGTGGAGCAGGTTTTATAAACAAAATAAGTACAATGGCCATAAAATCCCCTTTTTACTGCGTAGTCACACACCAAATTCGGAAATTGTGAGACCATGATAGAATGTCTGTTCATTGTATGACTTTGAGAATCTTATCACGTCAGTGTGCAAGTACCCCTTGTTCTCTGTGTACTTTTCCAGCTCCTATGGATGCGTGTGTGAGCCATCAATCAGGTCTACTCTGACACTAGCAGGAAGACTTTGTATTGTGTTCAGGAAAAGAGGATGGAAAGCTGCCTTCATGGGTTGTTCTTCTCAGATTAGGCCCATCAAGGTGTAGTTTTTGCTTGTTCTTATCTATCTAAAGAGAAACGTAATATGTCTCATGATCACTTCTGTCTGACCATACCGTTTCTTGGTGATTAACCATTGACATGTCTGTCCTGATGATTTGCCAAAATACATCAACGGACTCACGGATGGAAAAAGAGCAGATTTGTCTTGACTCAGTCATCTCTATTTTCAGCCCCAGACGGGAAACTTATAGTAATTCATGATTGGTTGTTGATTCATGGTGCACTCAGGAAGTGAAGTGAATATGTCCTCACCCCCGTGTTGTTCCTCTTGGTGTCCACCAGAGAGATGGTGAAGGAGGCAGCTAAGTTGGGAGAGTTGAGGACATCTCGGAGAGACAGTCGGCATTCCCCAAGAAACCTGGACGGACCAGAAAGGAAAAACTTTATGATGAGATTTGATATTTTCACACTGTCTCTGTGAGACAAAATACTATTTCACGGCACTTCACTTGAGCACACATGTTTTCTGTTACTTACTACAGCATTTTTTTTTTACTTTTAGACACAACAATGAGAGGATAAGCTACTTCTGTCATGCCTTCCCCTCCTCCCTTAAACATGTCAGACACTTTTAGATTTTAATGGGGAAAAGGAATTCAAGAATAACCGAGTGAAGAGACAATACACCAGACCCCTGATCTGAGTGTGATTCATCCACCTTGTCTCTGTGACAAAGAAGCAGCGCTAATCTCAGTTCCTGTGTGCTCAGTTATGGGAACGATTCATCTGTGGTCACTCTTCCTCTGTTGGGTAACAATTCACATGGATACCGAAATACTGTTTGGGGACTGTGCACAAGATGATTCTGTGGTCAGAACTTTTAAGTCGCATGAAACGTTTTGGATGACATGCAGCCGTCCACACATAGAAGTTACTTATCTAATTATCTCACAGATTCTCTGGGACATAAATTCTGAGTATGTGTGCATGCATATTTGTATTGTTAACCTGTTTCTTCCCATCTTCTCATGGTCTTTGACAACACAGTGAATTTCTGCTCCGGAGTCCAGAGGAATCCCCTTTAGATCCCATTCAAATCCCTAATGGAGACAACTCAGAATTCATAAAAAAGCCTGGAAATTTGACTTTACACCAAAAAATGATAAATTAAAAATATTCACAGAGCTCTGAGACTGAGACATTATCACCAGCTGAAACAAAATACATTTAAAATAAACTCCTGACCATCAAAACCGATGTACTACATGGCTCCATATCAGGTAAAGGATTTTCTGTACACAAATCTGTTCTGACAATCATCAATAACAACGTAAAATGATATACAAAACTAGATGGCTATTTTAAAAAAAAAAGTCTTGTTTCGCAAAACAACAAGAAAGGGAAACATGAAAAGCTTTTATATGCCTTCCTTTTTTCTTGTTATGATGTGAAATTATACTAATATGCGGTTGAGAAGAGGACTTACCTCATTCCAAACAGGGTTGGGGTTATTTTTGATGACCTTTGTCTTCTTCTTGGACCCTGAAACAAAAACACATGAGAAGCTTATAAACTATTACAGGTTTGGGACAAAGACCACAGCCATGAATTACAGTAGGTTGATCCATTTCCTGGCCTCAAGATCACAGCTTTGGAATAAAGCACATGGACGTGACATCTGTGAACTCAAATGGAGTATCTGTGTCATATATTTTGCAGATTTTCATGACCTGTTATTATCAGTTCAGCCTATTTGGAAGCTGCTGTCCTCATCAGGACATCAGACTTCCAATAGCTGAGCCGCAGCTCCCCCCAAACTCCAATCATAAACGGATCACTCTCTTGTATTTGTACATTAATCTGACTCAAAACAACACCTCAGGAATTATTATGTGACTGTCAACCCCTTTGGGGACTACTGGTGCCAGGAAAGTCAGGAGAAGAAAACACATGTGCAGTGCTCGGACAACACTGTTCTTAAATAGTGCAACAACTAAACAACAGTTGCACGTATTATCTATCTTTGGCTTCCTGTAACATAAAGTCCTGAGCTCTGATTTCCTGCCTCAGACAAGAAATGGGAGGCGGCATAAGACAATGAAGTGTCAGAATATATCGGCAGCTGATAAGGGGCTTATATGCAAACACATGGGAATTTAAATTGTCCCTCATAGTAACAGCCAAAATCATTTTTACTTGGCCTGGATCAAAAAGAGGACTCAATATAGATATACATATAGATTAGGACATTTTTAACAGTCACTGTTTGGCATAAGAAAGAATAAGAAGATAAGAAAGAATTATGAATTTCAAAGGAATGGCTAAAAACTGACCATTAATAACATGGTGGTAGTTTTTTTCAACCCAAATTAATAAAAAAAAAAAACTTAATGAAAAACTTAACATACTTACATAACAACCAAAAGAAATGAGGTTACAATCTAAAACTAAGTCATATTTTGGCTAAACTTTAAGAAATTCAGTTGTGTTGACATGGAAATGCAGTCTGGTGCCAAAGAAGTCAAAAAGAGATATCACGGGCTAAAATCAGTACAATTATGATGGCCTCCCATGTAAGCTAAAGATCAGAAATATTTTGCCTCAGCTTAAGCACATTTTTCTTTTTCTTTTTGTTATGTATACAACAACACTCAAACACAACACCATTCCTCACTTAACACACCTTCAGAGAGTCTGTTTTCTTTCCTGTTTTTCCCACAGTCACCATCCAGCCAATAGTACATTAACACACACAAAAATACCTATGTAAGTGTACCTCCGTTCTTGGAGGATATTTAAAAAAAAAACATCTCCACCCTTCCACATTCAGGTCCAGAGGTTACATTCAATTTGTGTGTGTGATTTGCGTGTCAACAGAGTAAAAGTCCCTCGGGCTGGTATCGCAGTTTACATCTGTGAGGAATGGGACCAGCTTCAACTTCCTGGTGGGTTCAGAGCTTGGCATATTTTCTGTCAAGAGCTGAGAATAGAACAGCCTGTGACTCGCAGTGCTAAGAACTACGTACGGGAAACCTAAGTTTAGACCTGCACAGAGTTTGTGTGTGTGTTTGTCCGTCAGTGTGTGGGACTTGATCACAGGTTTACTTTGTAATTTCCTTTGTGTTTTATCAATACAGTCCTAGAAAAGTGTCATTTCTCACATGGATGATGCATGACTGTTGTGTTTGTGTGTCCTGGCTACATATAGGGCTGAGGTGACAGGGCTGCAGGATTTAACTCCTTGTTTTAATAGAGCACAACGGTTATTGTTTCGATAACAACACTGTGTCCGGAAATCCTTCCTACAGCACACAAACTCAGACAGTTAATCACATCTGCACCTGCAGACACACGTGCAGACAAACAAATTAAGCTCTGAGCCAAAGAAAGTTAACAAAATGCTGTTTCTAGAATTTCTTGGAGGCCCTACTACTCAGCAGCTAAGTGAGTGGTCAAAACTATTTTCTGTAATGGGGACTATTCATGGCATTATTTACTTTAACAAACCATAGTACCCTTGCTTGCAAAAAAGGGATATTTCTGAGTTGCTGTGTGGCTCAACTAGAATGGAAATTGAGTGTAGCTCCTTGACAGAACTGATTTTAATCCCAGCATGGGGCCCTTTTTCTGCATGTGTTCCCCCCACTGTTAACGTCTAATGACCCTTTCAATAAATACATTGATATGTCTGCGTCAAATACATAAGACAAATAATCTGAATCTCTTTTTTCCCAGAAAGCTTTCAATCCACAACAACTGTGCACAGCCTTAATCTGTGTTTCCCTTTGTTTATGCCTCAGTCCAGATTTATTAACAACAGTTCCTTCTTACTCTCCTCCCTCTGCTTCCTTGTTCATTTCTAATCACTCCTAATTGCTATAAATGGGCATGGTGTCTGTTTTCCTGAGGGGAGGAAATGCTCTCTCTTGGTCATACTCTGCTACAAACTCTTTAAGTAAAAAAAAAAAAAAAAAACTTAATTAAAACAATCTTAATTTATTCTATGAAAGTTTGCTATAACAATGTCCTTTAAAGAAAATAAATCTTATTAGAAAAATAATGTTCAGGATTTGTTTGGTTATGCTGGGTTTGTTTACTTCTACAGCAGTAATCGACCACACTTTACAGAAACGGCACAAATCAAGAGCTTCTCTAAAAATCAAAAGCGAGAGAGAGAGAGAGAAAGAGATGGCAAGTGACTTCATGCCAAAACCTCTCAGTGAGGACAGATGGACACATGTAGTGTCGTAGTGCAAAGATTACTCGTAGAAGTGACTCTTTGCAGTAACTAAACGCTGCCAGCAGTTCCTGACATTGTTTAGGACCTTGGGGTGAAGTTCCACTGCCGATGGCTTGTGGTTTGATTGTGGCATTCACATTAGATTCAGGTCCAGGCCAGGGAGGGGCAGGAGAGAAACGCATGTGTGATGGCACCAGGAAACCATGCTCGGACAAAGGCAGGAAGTTAAGAACATGGTTCACCTCATTAATGAGGTAAACACTGCCTTGTGTCCAGTACAAAAACATATCAGTGGAAAAACAAAAATACTTTGGACATGTCGCCATATTGTGATCAGTCCATGGCTGTTATCCCAAAGATATAGTGGAGCTCAAGGGGGTTTAATCTGTACTCAGGCCTCAATTCTGTCATTTGAAATAACTAAAATCTCTCTAATTCAGCAGAAACAAAGACATTTATGTCATTAAACAAAATAATGAGATTACAGAACCACAGCCACATATTCAGATTTTACAGTTGTTGTCAGCACAACTGGACAAATTCAGTGAAGCTACAGCTAATTTGGCAGAATCTTAATGGTCATATCGCATTTGACAGCAAAGGCATTCTTTTATCGGGATGTAAATTAGCTTAAGTGGCACAAAACAGTTTTTAAAAAAGTTTTCATTCTAAAATGCTGAATACACTGCTTGTATTTTGAGTTGTCAATGCATGTTCAAGTACCAATAATGTGACATTTAGACCAGTGTATGTGTTTTGAATGGATGACATTGATAAAGGTAATTTACAATAACAAAGCTAAAATAATGCCTCAGCACTTAAAGATGTAGATAATTCCTTAAATTCATCCAGACCCAAACAGCTATACTTTTACCAGGAATGAATACTTGTGAAGTCCTTCAACAAACAGTTCCTGGTCTGCTAAATACTTGAACATTTCAAAACTATTTAACTTGATTTTGATTCTTTGATTTCGTGAACTGATTTCTTACCTCTGAATGTGACACTGGCCAGAGGGTCAGAGTGCCTCAGATTGTTGGCTCGCTGAAGAACACAGCGTAACATGATCAAAAGCTCAGAGTTCTGCAGAGTCTTAAAACCAGCTCAGCTTTTACGACTGATGCGATCAGACGGATTGAGACGCAAATGTATGGATCACCCAACTGAGAGGCATCCAGGGCTGAAGGAACACTTAGTTACATTACTACAGGAGCTTTGTGATGATACTGAGGCCACCAAATTCTAACCGACCAGGGAAACAAATGAAGACAAAAAAACTGAAATCCGTATAAAGTTCTTCTTTGACCTTTACAAAAATATCGGACTGCTTGAAAAAAAACCAGAAGCCTGATAATCCCAGATTGTCGTCCTGCTTCGTCTCACAGCATGCATCTGAACTGGGATCTACAAAGTAGCAGCACCATTTCTAAAACAGACCAATCTGACTTCCCTCTCTCCCCGATTATCTGTGACACTCCCTTTGGGGAAGAGGGCAAAGCGTGAAAATGTCAGGAACACACACCTCTCATCCAAAGGAAATCTCAACATTTCCTGTTCTCCTTTCCTCTGCTGTCTCCTGCTTGTTTCCCTCTCTTGTCCAAATATCTAACAGATTGTTATCTACCACAATCCAACTCTTTCTCTCCTTTAAAACCTTTATCTTACTGGGTCTTTTTGTGTATGTTGTGGACTAGTTTTAATCTGATGTTTTAGGTAAACTAACACAGGCGTACAGGTACTGCTTAAATTGCTTTCCATTTGAATATTTTTCTCATGGGGTAAACAACCTTTAAAAGACTTTTCATAGAACCTGTAAAAATCAATATTTTCAGTTAACAATATTCAGAATTTGTTTCAGGATCCATTAACTCCCGAAGGGATAAAGTCCAGTGTTTTGTGTTTATTTTTGAGACAGTCTGTTGTCACAAGACTTGAGTCTAAGTTTGTCATTGTCATTATAAAAACACCCAACATATAACTGAATATCAATATAAATTAATTTTTAGTAAAACTAAGAGACACAATTTTGTGAAAAATAAATATTATGTTATTATTATCATTAATGCAATGTTATTCAAGAGCTTCAAAGGCTAAGTCTACAGTGTTGGATAGCTTAAATGAACTTATTCAAATCACCCGTAATAATAAACTTTTTGCTTGCTCAATTAGACAGTGTCCCTGCAAACCTAAGTCTGTGTGTGCATATACACACTTTCACTCATGTTCTATTCAGTGTGTATTCTGCAGTATGTATTTTACAAGAAAACCAAGAATTGTAAAGAAGAAAATTGATGTCTGCATTTCATTATGTCCTATTGTAGTTTTTATTCCATCCCGGAATAATTCTCAAGCACACATCATAAAACATATAAAGAACATCTACTTTTGACTAATCAAAAACGTTTATCTATATGCAAATGAAAAAACAAAGTAATATCAGACTAATCTGCTGCATCAACCTGTAAATAATTAATACAACTCTGCAACTCCATTTTTACCCCATCTATCATCATGTAGTAATGAGAGCATTTAGCTAGCAGACTGAGAGTCTTTAGCTGCAAAAGAGCAAGATATAAGAGCATTGAAACAGGAGTGACCATAAAATACTAAATCCAAAAAACAACTAGAATGAGAGCGTGACCAGTATCGTGTACGTTAACCCCGAGAGGGGGTGTGTGCTTCAGTGTTACAATAGTTATCCTTTTGTAGAGCTTGACGCTGAGGAAACACAAATATCTTTCTAAAGAGACACAAAATCACTTAAGTAATCTAATCAGAAATTGTTGTGCTCCAAATGTACAAGATTTATAAGAAACTTGGAACAAATGTTTCAAATCTGCCTGTGCAGTCTTTTCTTCAACAGCTTTCAAGTTTAATAAGCTTTGAAAAAAAGTTATGATACAGCAGAGTTAATTTTTAAAAGGCAGACAATTAATTAAAAGATGCTTTCAACAGAGGTGATTTACTATCCTGTGAGAAAGACACTAAAATAATGTGCTATATTTAAATCCCAACACACAGCAGCAATGGATGGGAACAGCATCATGAAATCTCTTCGGTTTCTCCTGTAGGTCCCACGACCCCATCAGGGAATTAGCCATTACGAAAATGGATGGATGTATATGTGCCTTCATGATCACAAGTCACTTTGAAGCCTGACTTTTAGTAGATATCATCATATTTACCTCATGATAGATTTCTTCCCTTTTTTCTTCAGGGCTGAGACAGGATTGTGGCATGCACTTGTGGACAACACACTCCATTAAGTCTGTTATGAACTGCATCTTAATATGCGTATTCTTACTTAACAAATACCAATCATCAAAAATAATGTTTGTTTTGGCTATTCTTAACATTTTACTATACATTTAGGGATAGTGCCTATTTTACACATATTAAAGAATACTCAATTCTAATTGGTCCCAAAGCAATGGTTACCATAGCAACATGCTTTGCTTTGTGCAAAGAATCTGAAACAGTAACGAAGGCCACTTCATAGTTTCAACGCGTCACCAGCAACTTTAGAGTGACAGTCAGATCAAGGCTGCAAACTTAAGACAGGTTGAACTTCCTCATCAGAAAATAATCTCTTTTATCATGTCATTTTTGATCAAACTAACACGCTAGAGCATTGTTTGTGCAATTTATAAAAATGCAGAGCAAGTTGCAATGTATTAAGGCAATATCTATGAACAGTGTGAGTTGGCATGACTTTATATTCCTTCCTTCTGGCCCATATTCACCAGTGTGAGCCTGTTTGTGTGTGAGCACACTGCAGGCACTGGCCTACATTACACAGAAACACTTTTGTGCACAAGTAGTGTCAGGAGTTCATGACACATTTTAGTGTTTACACATGAATGTAGCTAATACCAAAAACTGTTTTACAGCTACTCTAACTATTTAAATATAGTGTATACAGGTAATAAAATAGTATATTCACAGACTAACAGGCAAATGTGTTGTAATAAAATGTCCAAGCTTTCCTATCTGAATCTATAACAGAGAGCAGCAACACCAAAATGCACACATTAATCATCATATAGTCGTGTGAAAAATAATAAGCACTTGTTTTCACTTTGGAGAAGATATGTTTGGGGCAAAAAAAGGAACTTCATATGTGATAAAAACTTGTACAATAAAGAGACCCAAGACGGGACCAATAAGCGGTATCGCTGACATGAGTCCTACTTCACACTGAAACGGGTCTGGATGTGTCTCGGGATTGGCCCTCAGATCCTCAGACTCTGCTGCTCCCACTGCTGCTAACGTGCTAGCCGTGGCAATGTTAGCAGGGATCATACTGTGTTTAAAACTTTAAAACTCTAAGGTGAATGTGTTTGAAAACTACAAATTCTTCCTCATGCTAAGACTGCAGGGGAGATCTGTCAACAGCACCCATCTCTTTCTCTTTCTGTCCCTGCCCCACCTCAAGAAAAAACAACCTCCGGAGGCTTTCGAGTAATAACCCCCCACCTGTTTAAGGGATCTCATTAACAGCAGCAGCAGATAAATTCCACTTGTTAACAAATACATGTATTTTTGCTTTGCCATTTCTTTCTCATTTCACCCACTGGAACACACACCCATAGAGCATACCTTCATAGGTGACACTGCAGTAGGCATCACTGATGTCGTTGTCCGGTGTTTGTAGGTGCTCAGCACATAGAATGAACACACGCAGCATTGTTCCAACACACACACACACACACACACACACAAAAAGATATTAGTTCCCAAGCACTGACGCACTGTTGTCCATATATGGGAGCAAATATATCCAAAAGATAGAAGCGAGATCAGTAAAGATCCATTGAGATGAAAGAGGTAGAGGTAATAGGGAATGAGAGCAATAATGAAATGGACTGGTCGAGCCGCAGCTCTCAGCTGTCTCACCCTAGCAGAGGCATAGTGCACCAGCTGACTCATGCACACACAGACTGTCCCTTCAATCACAATGCGCTTAAAGGGCTACACGCACACAGACACACACACAGTGGCCTTTACTTTCCCATCACACATGCCTGCACACCATCCATAATCCAGACTGCCAACATAAGTAAACATATGTGGCAAGATCCAAAACACGCATGTCAATGCAGATTTAAGCAGAGCTGCTGCCATGAAATGAGAGAAAACTAATCAGTTATACGTGATGTTCTCCTCTTTTGTCTTCAAACATTTTCAGGAAATGCTAACTTCATAAAACAATAAGTTGAGTAGCCAAACTCCTAACTACTGATATATAAAATGAACAAGGAAAACAGCAAAAATTAGACAGACTGATTGGTGGGCATAAGCTATTGTATTACATACTATTATTATACTATTATACCAAACTGTCTGCTGTGTCAACAGCCTCCACCATGAAGGAAGCCAGGACACCTTGGGACAACACACACATACACAGATAGAACATACAGACCTCAAACAGACAGACCCTGATAGGGAATTGAACCAGGCCCACTCTCTCTGTGAGGTGACTCTGCTGGCCACTGCATGAGCACTGGAATTTGAATCTTTAGGAAGTTTCTTTTTTAATCTACTTACAGACTAGTCATGTGACTGACTTAAACCCAGTCTTGCATGGATAAAGGTTTTACCAACAGAAAAATGAGGGACAAGGCTGTGAGGGAAAGGATTGAACTCATGACTCTTTGAGTTAGTTTATGCTCAAAGATACTTAACTTACAAAGGTCAAACACAGACTGTGATAGTCCTTGTGTTGGAGTAGATTCTCAGTCAAACAGGTCAGTGCAGTGACTTTGCTTGTTCTCAACAAGTGGCAAAGAATAACATGATTCATCTGAAGTCTGTGAGGGGCCGATGAGAACAACTGCTCCTGCTCAGGATTGTGTGCAGACTGAAATATGACATGAGGGGATTTCTGTTGCCCTCCTATTAATAGTCTGACCAATGACTGGTCTGTGGTCATTTACACATTTAGACAGAGCATGTGTGCTTATAACAAGCAGGTTACCTAGTGACATGAGATTATAAAAAGATAGTGGAACTCACCTTTTCTGTGCTGCAAACCATATCTGAACCTAGAAACGTACAAATGTCTGTATAACTACTGACCACAATGGGGTCACAATAAGACATCTCTTGGTATTTTGCAAGAATTTAAAGCAAACTATTTGCTGTAATGCAGGAAAGCCAGAAGTCATGCAAGATTAAAAAAAAAAAAAAACAATATGGAGGTAGATCAGTCACTAGGGTAGACCAAAATGTAGTCTATATTAGCTTTTTGAGACCCCAGTGAAATACGTTTGTTTTTTTTGTTTGCTTTATACAAATTGTTTACTTTATAGGAAAAGTATGACATCATAGGCTTCTTTTAGCTTTACAGTATGAAACCAAGTTTGATAAATGAGCTGGGACAGTTGAGTTGACTTGTCTTTGATAAGACGGAGTGTAGTTAGTGAAAAATGTGGTCTCACAAATAACGAAGGGGGCCATTAAAGGCATTTCCCCTTTCTAATCTCTGTTGGCTGATTCTTGTCTGAACCACAAAATTAGCATAAAAGGTCAAGATGGCTCTCCAAAACAAAGTCTGAATAATCAGCAGAGTTCTATCAGGTCGATCCAGTGCAAATGTCTGCTGGTGGAGAGGAAAGGTATCCCTCACAACCAGTTAGGGGCTGTTTGCATCATCAAACTGTCTTCTGTAGAGACGATAGTAACCTCAGATATGTGCCAGTTTCTTGTTTTCAAGTTTAGAATACAACTGAATGAAGGTTACAGTCCTTTTAACTGATTTAATAGACTGTAAACATGTCATTACTGGGTTTTTGGTGTGCTTTGACAATGCCATATGCTGACATGAGGACACAGCCTGCACAAAGCTACCACCATCGTGTCTGTATGGATCATCCGTGGGTATTGATTCTGTAAAGCATCCCCTCCACTCTGGGGCTGCTGCAATCTGATTTCCTCTCAAATAACTCAAGAGCTGATGGAAGAAGACGAAGTCTGAAGCTGCAGGAAATGAGCTGTTCGCGAAGTCCCTGTATATATGTTGAGATATCTGCAGTTTTATAAAATTGAACTTTACATATTGGCCATGCTGAAAAGGCCTTCGAAGCATTTTGTTGAAAAAGATTAATACAATGTTGTTACTCGGAGAACCTGATCTGATCTGGGCAAATTACCCTAGGGATAATGAGCACAGGAGAATGGAGGGGAGCTGATACAGAACAGGAACAATGGGAGAGAAAGACAGGGATCAAATACTAAAAAGAAACAAGGAAAAGAAAAACTTAGAAACAATGAATTCACTTAGAAAAATCTGTTAAACTTTTAACTTGACAAATGATCTCAACCATGATTCATCGAACCATAAAAAGGTGTTCTTCTGTATTATGGATATATTACAAAGCAACCTTAGAAATAAGCGATGTCTCAACAAACTATTCCATAGTCTACAACATTTTGATTACAGCACCTGTGAATTTTTAAGACATGGACATCTGACTCCAACAGGTGGCAGCACCTGATCACCAACAGCATTACAGAGGGTGGAGGAGAGAACAAAATATTAATGATTAAAAATGAAGATGCAGGCAGGCTACAAAGTAGAAACTATTTATTTCAATACACTAACTACCCAACAAAAATATATTTTTCTGTACCCCCCTGGTAAAGGTTTATTCAATCTATAATGGAATGAAATACCACACATTACCATTTGAATCTGTCAGCAGACAAAAACTGCTCGTAGAAACACAAACAAAAACCGATGTAAGAATTCTTTGAATCGTTCAACAAATAATGAAATGGTAAGAAAGGACGCACAGTTGAAATTGTCTCCCATCCTCCAGTCCAGTAGATGTCGGTCTTTCTCCTGTAGGGACGCAGCTAGCCAAGAGTTACATTTAATAAAGAAGAAGAAGAAGTAGTGGTAAAAAGTGAAAGACACACGTGGGTAAGAACAACAAGGCAGATTATGAAAATTGTTGAGGCAAATACAAAGTTTGAAGAGTTTTTTTAATCAGGATTAATCCTATGTATTTAATTCAATTTATCAGATTAATTGCATTATTCATTTTCAGCACATTTTCATATCTCCAGTGCTGTGTAGCTGTTATAGTTCCCTTAATTTCTAAAGGCAGAGCATCTACGGGATGATGAGGATGATGGTGACAAAACAAGCACCACAGAAAACACTTTAAAACGTATACTTTTATTAATTTCACTTCATAAATCAGAAAACGTGGAAATGTCTCAGGACAACCAACAGAAATGGCGGCTGCCTTTGAACTGATGAACATAAAATGAAGGACACAACAACGTCCTTTTTCCCCACACAACTTTGTGCCTTTAGAGAAAACGGTAAAACGGAAAACACGTAATGTCCTGAAAGGTGAAACCCAGGATAACACTGTCCCAATACTTCCAAATCACTGTGTAACTTATAAAGTGATGGAAGAATTTAAATGAGGTATAAAAATACAGAAAAATGCTGCCAGTCAGGAGTCAAACTCGGGAACTCGAGCTCAGACTGAGCAATCCTAATAAACACATCTTAAGAAGGACGAATCAGTGCTTAGGTCCACCTTGCTGTTGATGCAGGTTTCTTTTGGCCCTTTTGGTAATATTTCTAGAAAGTAGCAGAGGGACACAATGGGAGTCAAAGTTGGATGTTTTTGATGTTTTCTACATTTAATCTGTGTGTGTTTAGGGGCACCTGCAGGTTGTCGTAGTGTTTCTGGCTTTTGCAGTGCGCGTCCTCGGTGGGGCCGTCGTTCAGGTATGGAACTGAGCAGACATTACAAAAAAGAATCCACTTAGGCACCACAAACTACTAGGATGCACTGCCTGTAACCGTGCGTGTGTGTTTCTCACCACAGGGCGTTTTAGGGTTGAACGCCGGCGGTGTGAAGACAGCAGCTGCTTCAGGTGACTGAGAGCTACAGTGCTTAGTTTCAGGTCCAAGTTTTATCTTCTTTTTGTTCAGGCCTGAGAAGGAAGAAGAGGCATTGCTTACCAAAGCCCTGGCAGGAGATGATCCTGCTGCGAGCTAAACAACAAACCCCACAGCTTCTTAAATGGACCAGATGTATAGCTGTTAATAAGTTGAATTCATTCAAATAAAACTGACAGTTTTCAGCATCTATGACTGATGAATGGCTAAATTGAACGTCCACTCTTCTACACAGAATGGTGTCGTCTTGATAACTGAGCAGTATGACGTATGACGTGACTCTTTGAAATATTGGTATAGGTTGCTGCACCTTTATTTTCTTCCTCCTCCTCCTCCACATGTGGTGCCTCGAGGTCGGAGCCGGCTGCTTTTTTCCCTCTAATAGATCTCCTAACTGTGAGAGAAGAGAATCATTAATGCCAGTTTAGTGCCAGTTTGGTTCTTATTGTAGAAGTTGCTCATGTGTGTGTTTGTGGTACCAGGTGTCTGCTCTCTGCTTCTCTTTCTGGGTCTGCCTCTTCTCCTGGGTGTGGTCCCTTCCTCCTCCTTCTGTTGAGTCTCTCCCTCCTCAACGATATCCACAGTTTCAAGGGAAGCTTTATCCTCATTTATGCCACTTTCACCGTTAGTGTCTGTACTTCCTGTAGGCGCAGCTCCCTTTTGACTTGGGAATTCTCTGGCAGCTGTGTTCCGCCCTCTTTTCGGGGTCTCTTCTTTTTCTTCTCTGCCACTTTCTTTCTGAGCTGTTCTGGTGGGTTTTGTGATGACGGCTGTGGCCATGTCAGGTGGGGTCCCTTTGAGTTCTCTAGCGGTTCTCCTTCTGCTGGACCTTTCTGTGGCTGATGTCTCCTGAATAGACTCCTCCTCTGCAGAGTCCACCACCATAAAGACTTTCACCACACTGTCCTCGCCGTCCTCCATTTGCCGCTCGATTTCCTCCACTTGCGTTGTGTCTTCATTCTTTGAACTGTCTGCGTTCAAGAGCAAACCCTTTGAGTCTTTGGCGGCGGATGACACGGCGGATGATGCAACCTCGTCTTTTTCACAGGAGGGCTGCGCATGTGAAGGGTAGCTGCCGTCAGCTGCTGTGCTCTGTGTGTCCTCGCTGATCTCGTCCAGAGTGACGAAGTCTCCCAGGTTTAAATTTTCCTCATCAAAATTGTCTGAGGGGGCAACGGCTGCCTGACTATCCAAAGTCTGGATGAAGGAAAAAGAACAATCTCTGTACAGTCAAAGCAGACTTTTTAATCAAAATAGCAAATGCTTACACTAAGACGTAAACCTCCTGTAAGGTTTACAAACATTCACCTTTCTTGGTGATGCGTCTTCATGCTGAGAGCTTCCAGAGCAGCCGGTGGTGCTTTGGTTGGGAATCTAAACAGCACATATTAAAAAAGAGAAAACTTTGTAAGGCAGTTCTTCAACTTTGTAACCATTGTGACCTACATGTTACCATGTGGTCGATAACCACGATCACCTCCTGGACTTTGCTGGGTGATGCGCCTTCTCGTGTGAGTCTGTACTGGTGAACAGCGGCTTTAATGGCGTTGAAGCTGTCCTGGTCAATCTGAGGGAGCTCTGTGACGTCCTCGGCAGGCTTCAGCCCACCAGCAGCCGTCAGAGGGGGGCACGTTGGTGTCTCCTCTGAGACAGTTGAAGCGGTGCTCCTCAGTTTGGACGTGGCAGCTTTGGAGACGGCCGCTCCTGCTCGGGCCGCTGGCGGCGGTGGAGCGGGAGCGCTGCTTTGGGGAGCGGGGTGTGGTTGTGAGGGCTTACTTTTGGTTTTAGAGGGCTTGGCCTGGACACCTATGGTGCCCTGTTTGAGGTTTACTGCAATCTGTTCACAGTCTTGTAGGCGTTGTTTCCGGCTCTTTAGGCTAAAATTAAAAGCAGAAATGTTAGGAACAACTGGGACCTTTCTAAAAAGGTATAACAGGAAACTTCACAGAAACCGCCACCATCCATGACTGCTGGGCACAATGTTCAGGATGATCACCTCTGGATTAACTCTGCTGATTGGGATTTTTGCTACTATTTTGCACAGGTTGAGTACAAAAACAAATGCATTTAAAAAATACACAAATGACACACTCACTGCTCAATACGTCCAACTTTCTTCCTATGGGATGGCAAAAGAAAAAAAGACAAAACATTATCCAAGTTTACAATTTTTCGGGGTCATTTGTTTCCACCTGACAGAAGGTCCGCACGTACCAGGCCTCACACTGTTCAGACAATTTGGGTGCTGAGATGCTCCCCACCACTTTGGTCACGCCGCTGGATTCAGCCATCTCAATGTAGATCTGTCACAGCGAGGTGAAGCCAACCCCAAAACCTTTGTGAAAAACTGTTCAACTGCTAATTTTTCTCCATTTTTAAAAGCAAAGTTGAGCAAAGTTGTATATATCTGGAATTGACATACCCTGTTGGAAAGCGGCAGAAAGCGGACAAAGGAGGCCATGCTCGCCACCTCTTTCATGACGGCCATGATGAGGACCACATCCACCCCCGAGACCTCCACACACAGCAGCCTCTCCTTCAAAGACTCAAGGTTTGAAACATGCTGTGGAAAACAACAGAACGATGTTAAACACAAAAGAAACCCAACCAGAATATTCACTGGGTGGCAGGTTGAAATGAGCCGAAAAATACTCAACAGTGTTGCTCCACTTCATCAGAGTTCTGTACATGATCTCCTGTGAAAGCACGATGAGACGGTTTGTGACTAATCTCATTGAAATGTTTTGAAAGGGATGCTTGAGAATTTAGAATTCTGTTGCCAAGTAAGAACTTTGATTTGGATATTGAGAGTTGAGGACGGCCATGTTTCCCCTCAGACGCTATACCTCACTGGCTCCAGGGTCCATGTTCTCCAAGACCAAGTGGATGTTGAGGATGCTGCCGTTAACAGAAACTGGACTTTGAAGGTGATTTTGGATGAATCTGCAGCACATATCCCACTGACTAAAATACACAAATGCCTAGATAAGAAAAGAAAGCTTGTCATGGATCAGTAAACAAAATTAGAGTCCTTTAAATCATCCTTCAGTAAGTGTGTGGCCTATGCTCCTCACCCGCCTCTGCAGTGGAAGGACCATCACTCTGTAGTACAGAGCGTGGAGATTCTGCTCGGGGAAAAAAGGCCACACCAGCTTGGCCACGTCCTCGTGTGTGTACGTCTCATCCGGTAAGCCAGTCAGCATGATTGTGAAGAATTCTGAACCTTTAACGAAAGGTTTCTGCGGGGCACAAGGTTAAAGTGCTGAACTTTTCAAATCAGGTAAGACACAATCTAAAAAAAATACAAAAAACAGAATTTCCGTGATGAATTCAATTAAAAGATCAATATAAAAAGCTAGCAACAAAACATGCTTACCGTCAGGTGAATCCCTCCACTAACTATCTGATAAACTAGGAGATAAAAAACAAAACAAGCAGAAGCTGTTTAAACTCTTCAATCAGCACATACCCTCCCTGATCAGATGACACGTGTACACAGGGTATTAAAATCTTTTGCTTGGACAGATCATAGCGCTTTGCTTTGTTCGGAGATAAAATACACAGCTTATGTCACATTTAGGGGGAAAGCAGGCCAACATTAGTAAGACTAACTGATAAGACTTATTGACATTCAGTATGTTCACACTCAATGTTTCAAAAACACTTCTGTTGTATTTGTTATTTAACAAATATAGAAAAAAGCTAAGTGGCACCAAATTATTTTAATCACTTCTGTTAGAGGGAAATATTGAGCTCAGGGCTTTTAAGGCCGTATTGTTCACTGACACACTCATGAGTTATTTTCACTTATAAAATATATGGAATACTTATTCCTTTAAGTACTTAACCATTGGCCCTCAATGTTTTTTGTGGCTTATTGTGTTTATGGCTGTCTGTTTGCAGCTTCTAGAGAGGGATTGGTTTTATGACACCAAATGTCATTTCTCACAACCTTATTTACTTTTTGAACATACAGCAGGATGATCCGATTTTCTTTTCTTTTCTTACCTGGAATATTGAACCAAGGAGACGCGGTTGGGAAGATATAAGGACTAGCTGTCATGGTGATCCAAAACGGTGGACAGCTGCCATCTGGAACACCACATTTGGCGGTTGGGGGGGTGGCCCCAGCAACAACATCACTGCTGTCTGGCATAGCCCACGCAGGCTCCCTTGGTGCTGCACAAACAGCAAAGAAATCAGAAATCTTCTCATTTCTCATCAGTTTGACATATTCCAGATTTTAAGAGCCCTCAGAGACTTTTCATTAAAAAGCGGCTTGTGGCTAAAGTTTGGTCATTTCATTCTGGGACTTTCAGAGACATACGTTGGGTTGGGAGTAAGCTCTTCGGAGCCTTCATCCTGTAGACCTTGTGGGAAAGTTGTCGCTTCAGGAGGCTGTACCAGACTCCGAGCCGATCGGCATCAATGCACGACTTAAATTCAACAAAAACCTGGGAGAAGCACACATACACAGGACGGACTAAACACACAAAGGAGCCTTTCAAATTCACATGCAGGGCCATCAGGACCCAGCTTTAATTAAACCATTGAGAGTGAACTTCTGATTTCATGATCTAAATCTTCAAATGTAGTCATTTTTTGTTATTCAACTTTGCCCTGTGCTCTTAACATGTCGGTAGGTTGGTAGATTTTACCTTGTTGAGAAGAGGCAGGAAGTTTTTTACCGTGCCCATTTTACACAAAGCTTTCCGGAGGTCACTGGTCTCACTGGGCGTGATGTTCTGGATGTAGACAGTTCTTGTTCCATCGTCGTTCGTCCCCTGATTCAGCGGCACCAGGGGAAGATTTCAATAGGGCAGAGTTGCACAGCTTTTTAGCTGGTCATGACAATACAGGAATGCATTTAGTTGGAAACAGATATTTAGATGTGTCGATCAAATCGGACAGCATTTTGATATATAAATAAACGCTTACAAATTTGGGTCTACTGGAACATGGGCACTTGCATTTGTTTTGGGTTGTTTTCTTTACCTTCAACATCACAGCGAGCGTCTTAACATAGGTCGGATTCACCAACTTTCTAGCAACTTTACATTAAGGGCTTTAGAGAGTAATGAAGTTTGTGAGTGTTACTTACATACTTGACCAGCCTCATCAGTCGTCGATAAAAATCAAACTGAATTTAAGAAAAAAGAATAGAAAAATTACGTCAGACACAATGACAAAGAAAGTAATTACTCTCTGACCCACAAACTTTTATCAGCCTCCTAAAAAGTTAGAATTTCTCAGTCTTACCAGAGTATTTGGGATGACATTGCCGACAAGACTGACACGTAGTGTAGACCCTTTGAATACCATGGCCATTTTGTTTTTCATTGTGGTGAAAAAGTCTTGAACTTTCTCCATACTTTGCAGAAGAACAAAGGCCTGAAAGTTAAAACGTGACAATTCATCTTTACGACAGCAAGAAGCAACTCATTGTTACTACAGCACATGCCATAATAAACATGCGGAAAAATGTATTCCTTGTTTTGTATGGGGGGGGTCTTTGACATCCACACCCACACCCATCATGAACACATGGGGGGGTTGGGGATGGGGGTTAGGAGGGAGGGGGAAAGGTAACAGAGGCAGTGGGTCGAAGGGGGGTGCATGAAGTCTATACTTGTGTGTGTGTGTTTGCAAGTGTAAGCAAGCAGGGAGGTAACTACAGTTCACAGGCATTTGATGGAATTTGTCCTTGTGAGGCTGATACTCCTGCTTGGGAGGAGGGAGGGGGTGGGGTGGGAAGAGCGTCCATCTGCAGTTTCATCCAGGACAAAAGTTACTGATAAGGGGCTCCAAGGCCGCTCTCGGGGAGTCAGATCGACATAAGAGAGATAGCTTTGTTCTAGGCAGAGCGTGTTCTGCCTGCCTTAAGTCCTCAGCCGGTCTCTCAATGGCGATTCCAGTTAATCCAAATTGTGTTAGTTTCCCTCAATATTAGTGTGATAAGACAATTTTGTTTAAAAAAAAATAAAAAAAAAAAAAAAATTAAGGAAGTCTCAAAAAAAGACTGCTTACCATACGCAACTCAGGAATGATCATGTTTGTGTCGCCATCACAGTGAACTTTATATTTGCCGAGGCAGCGGACAAATTCAGCCTCCGTGTAGAAGCCGCTGTTGTGCTCTGGCAGGCCTGTTATCAGCAACAGCCTCGCATTTATTGAAAATATCTAGACAGAAAGCAGACAGACGACAGATTGAGAGGAACATCTAGAGACACTGTGTTATTCAGGAGGATTTGGTCCGGAACATGTCTGAAGAGTCGAAGCTCAGAGCTGGATGGTGGAGACTTACCATTGGGGACATGATTTTCTTTTTCGAAATAAAAGCTGTGAAGGAGAAGAGTCAGAGCTTGTGATATAGTGAAGACAGAAGAAACATATCAGGTGCATACGCCTCTGAATTCTTACTGAATTGTTTGGGGGACAGTAGGCTTTTGATCCTCTCCCCTGGAGTCAGGGGAGTGCTGGCGGCTGCAGCGGGGGGCTTCTTGTTACTAGCTGCAGCAGCAGCTGCGGCTTTGCAGGATGCAGTTTGTCCAGTCGCCACAGCTGAAACTTTACCATCTCCTCCCAAAGCTGCAAAGGAGAATTCATTTGCATGGTTGCATGTTTTCAAGATTCTCATCCCAATTAATGATAAAATGTCAAATTATTTGCTTACTAAAGGAAAAATGTTTGGCTTTTCTTGACTCCTAAAAAGCTTACTCATCACAAACTAAAAATGATGAGTGTAAGAAAAACCCAGAAGCTGCTCGTGCTGTATTATCCTGAATTCAAGGTTTCATGAGCGGCCCAGTGGTTACGAGTCAACGTTAAGCAATGAAATGAACCAATTCAAAGCAAACCTACCCTTCTGTCCCCCGTTTGTGGAGAGCTGAGGCTCTTTGGCCTTCAGAGCAGCCTCGGCCGGCTGCTGTGGACTCTGGGGAGTCTTGTTACTCTGTTCCTGTGCAGTGGATCCTGCCTTTTGCTTGGCAGTTTGATGGACCGGTGGGGGAGCTTTCGCCGAGGGCTCCTGAGTTTTGGTGGTGCTCTGCGGTCTCTGAGGTGGAGTAGCTGAAGCGGGTGGAGGCTGATTGGCTGTGGTCTTCGCTGCACTGGTTGTTGTTGACTGTAGGACTTTGGCAGGTCCTGCCTGTTGCTTCATTTGAGAGGATGTGCTTATATTGTCAGCGTCTTTGAGATTTACAGAGGGTTCATTGACATTTTTAGCGTTCAAAATTCCAGCGGCTTCATCTTGCCCTTTTTGCATAATTGATGCTGTCTTTGTAGCAGTTCCTCCCACTTTAACTGACCTCTCTCCACCAGTTTGAACTGCTTTGGGAGCAGAGACGGCGCCGGGTTCTTCTGCCCCTTTGCCTCTCGTTTCTGTTTTCTCTTTATCCTCACTCGCCTGAGGAGCAGTGGAGGGAGTTCCCACTGTCTCTGTGTTCTTCTTGCCTGACGTGTTGCTTGTGCCCCTCAGTGCTGGTGTGATGGATTTAGAAGGTTTGGGTCCGGCTGAGGCAGCTGGCTGAGCAGAAGCAGGGCTGCTGGTTTGGAGAGCAGGTTGTGCTTTATCGGAGGTTTTGGAGGGCAGAAGCTGAGCTCCACTTTTCACTGTTAGGGGCTTGTTGCTGACGGCTGTGGTGTTCCCCTCAAGGTTGATTGTGATTTCATTTGAGTCTTGAAGGCGCTGTTTGAGACTCTTCACACTGAAATAATAAGAGTGATTGCTTTGTTAGTCTAAGTCAAACCTGGGTTGCTCTTACAAACTGCTACAAAGTCCTACACTTAAATGTTCAGGTAAAGCAGATTCAAACAGTTGCTGCTGCACTTTATTTTTACAGAAAAGGACATACAAACACTGAGAACAATAAATGTCATTTTGGAGAAATAGAAAAAGACTATTTAAGATGAAACTAACACCGGTGTCATTTCACAAATTGGAATGGTTCTAATGTTAATTTGTCACAAATAATGAGATGAAAAGCAGACTGATTTATTTTGAATTGTTCACAGGGCGGTGCAGCTGCTCGGAGTTAAGGGAGGGACCTGCGGTTTGCTGTGCCCGGTAAGGAAGAAGCAGGAATTCTCCCTTTCTCCCACTGAGGAACTATCATTGTGACCTGAACCTTGTTGTCTGTAAATGTAGTTTATGTTTAAAGCCTGGCAACAGCCTCTCTCTTTGGCAGACCTGTGCCCTGGACACACAGAATCTTCTGTCTTTCTCTGGAAAGCACATAGCGCAGAGCCATTCTACCTGTTCACTTGTTATGCTTTTGTCATGTGAAGATGAAATACTCACGATTCCACATGTCCAACTTTACTCCTGTAAAGAAAACAAAAGGGAGGAGAGTCAGATAAACCACGTATATAAGTGACACCTGTCAGCACATATTTAACTCTTATTGTCATCACTTAAACATGCGTACCATTCTTTAGGTGCTGATACATGAGCGATCTTTTCCACTACCTCACTTACACCACTCGATTCAGCCATCTCAATGCAAATCTGACACAGACAGGATTACAAAAAGATTAAATAAATCCACAAACAAAAGTTTTAAATAAACGTCATCTAAATGAATTAACGTGATATAATGTAATGTGACCATTTAATGCTTTCCAAGAATAACAATTGAGTTTTAGAGATCTTGTTTTATGCTTTTTTTTAGCGGGTCTTCAGTGAGATGACTGGGGCTACTACACAGAGCGTTCCAGAATAGAGATGATGAAGTCCTCAAAATGCATTGATTTTGTGAACTGCATTACCCTGTTGGAGAGTGGCAGGAAGCTCACAAAGGGCGCGATTGACACCACAGCTTTCATGACCATGGTGATGATCGGTATGGATGTCTCAAATATTTCCACACACAAAAGACGCTCTGCCAGGGACTCCAGCTCTGGGACATGCTGAAAATTAACCGGGTTTATGTTGAGAAAAAGGGGATCGGAGGTATCTGCTATTGAAGGTGTTAGGAAGGACTTACAGAATTGCTCCACTTCATCATTGATCTGTACATGATCTCCTGCAAAAACAATAAAGCGATTGTTGCGAAAATATGACGTTTCGTATTAACTAACACTGTAAACTTTTTAAAAACGTTTTAAACACATTTTGAGTGGCACTGGCCTTATAACATAAGTAACAAATCATACATAACTGGTAAAAAACATCCCAATCAGGCTCCACTTCAAAAATAATGTGCATAAAAAATACTGATCACTGAGAATAATTCCAAAGTGACCCCACCCACACAAGACTTTTCGGAGCGGAACAGCGCATGTCATATCTTCACCGAGGCAAAGACATGGGACGCTTTAAACGTGGGACATCCAATCCCTGCATACCTCACTCAGTGCAGCATCCATTTGCTCTAAAACCAGGTGGGTGCTCAATACGTAGTCTTTAACAGAAAGTGGAGCTCTGCTCTGATCTTCGATAAAACTGTAACAGGATTTGTAGCTGTTGAAATACACAAAGGCCTGCAAGGGAACAGAAAAATACAAATAAAAGATGTAAGTGGTGCAGGGTTTCGTTAGTTATTGTGTATGGGGGGGGGTTCCTGGCTTAGATTCAACTCCTTACCCTCTTCTGCAGCGGCAGGACCAGCACGCTGTAATAGAGAGTGTGGAGGTTCTGTTCGGGGAAATAACGCCACACGAGTTTAGCGACATCCTGGTGTGTGTAGTTTCTTCCCGGGAGACCCGTCAACATGATTGTGAATGCTTTAGAGGCCCAAGTGCCGGCTTTCTGTAGGGGGCAAGATTTAAAAAATTGTTAATTAAAAGAACAATAGAATATTTTTTATGCAAACATTTAAATATCAGATTACATAAAAATCTAGAGAACTGGTTGCTGGACACATCTTTTGACTCAGTGTTTAGATGCCCTTACCCAAATGTCCATCTTGTTCCTGACTGTCAGAAAATCTAGAGCCAGAATGGACCACAGTTACTTTGTCACATCGATTATTGTCAACACGTCAAATGTAATCTCCAAACAACACTTGACTTACTCGGGATGATGAACCATGGAGAAAGGGTAGGAAACACAAAAGGATGCATCCTTAAGGTGACAGCAAATGGAGCTGCGCTGCCCTGCGGAACCCCAAACGTTGTGGTTGGGGCTACCACTCCGCTCACAATGTTACTGCTGTCTGGCAGAGCTTTGGCAGCCAGTCGAGGTGCTGGGCACAACAACATGAGAGTCAGTAATCTTCACTCAAATCTGTTAGAGACTTGCTCGTTTGTTTGAACACATATGGAGCCGACTTGTCACCGTATTAATTTTGACTCTGTCTTTCTACATTTGAGCTGGGCTTTTCAGTATTGTATCAGTAAAAAAAAAACGACATGCATTATTGTGGTCCTCATACAAGAATTACTCCTACATTGTATTGCCCTCTATCACCCCAACATGATAAAGGGTAATTTCTTACGTGGTGCTATGACACTGTGTGGCAATCTCATCCTGTAGACGTTATTGGCAGGGCAATGCTTAAGGAGGCTGTACCAAACTCCCAGCCTATCTGCATCACGGATCGACTCAAACTCAATAAACACCTAAAGAGCATAAGAATCACTGGACAGGTTAGTGTTGGGCAGAAATGTTGACACATGTGCCTGGAGCCGTTTGTGCATGGCGCATGTTTAGACCTTGTTAAGCAGTGGCAGGTAGTTTCTGACAGAATCGATTTTTTTCAAAACCGTCCTGAGCTCCCTGGTCTCGTTCCACGTGATGTTGTTGATGTAAATTATGCTCACTCCGTCATCAATTACGCGCTGATGGAAGAACAGAAAACGATCAGTCAAACCAGAGCGAGTGGTTCTCAAATGTTTTAAACGGTCAAGTATAAATACTCAAAAGTGAAGATGTCATATATACACACATTGACTAAAAACTTGGGCGGGTTTGGTCAAACCCATTGTAGTGCGTGTGCGTGTTACTCACAAAGTTTATCAGCTCCATCAGACATTTATAAAACCCAAACTGAAACAAACATAAACCACCGCTTTAGTTTTTGTAAATACATTTCACACTCATTTTCATCTTGTTCACACAACATTTTGTAGAAAGATTACGTTTTGAAATTTAGTTTAGTCTGAAACTCATTCCTTTTCTTTTTTTTTTTTTAAGTACGGTTTACACAAACAGCCAAGGATAAAAGTATAACTAAGTTTTATGTCTCTGATATGTAAAGCTAAAGATAGTAAAAACCCTACAGTGAATGCACCTCAGCTCTTTATTGATCACTATTCTGAATTCAGGTTAAAGTGGAGGTAAAAGATGAACATGAGACATGAGTCCACACAAAGTGAACTCAGTTTAGAACGCATCTTACTGATCTCATCAACCCATTCCTCAAAATAAACAGATGAACTGAGTTGTTTTCAACATGCTTACTGGTGACATTAATATTTTGCTGCACACAACACGCAGGACAAGTGGAAATCCATTGAGGGTAATGTGATTATTCTTCGAAGCTTTGAAGGCTTGCTGCACACTTTCAAAGTTTGGCATGAGCACAAAAGCCTGAAATGAAAACAAAACGAAAAACCACTGTTAAAGCACCATGCCGGAGGTGAGTGAATTAGCATCTTAATGCCAGTAGCACGGGGCTCACCATGCACGCCTGAGGGATAACGAAGATGTTTTTATCCAAATAATGAAATCCAAACTGATGGAGCAGGTTGGCAATATCAGCCTCCGTGTAGCAGCCGTCAGTATATTTTGGCAGATTGGTGATTAAGATCAGCCTTCTGTGAGTTGAAAAGTTCTGTTCAAACAAAGAAAAAAACAAAATCAAGATGATGCACTGTACGAAGATAGGATTATGAGAGATTTAATGCTGCGAGTCAAAAGTTTGTGTTACTGATTTAAAGAAAAACATTTCTGCTACAGGAATACATCTACTCCTGCATCTATTTCTAGAATGCTCTTGAGGAAAATTAACTTCCAGATAGCTGCATTGAAAGCTACATTGTTGGTAAAAGAGCCTTTTATGTTTTGATCATTATATATATATATATATATATATATATATACACACACACACACACACATTACTACATCATAACTATATTATTGCAATAAGTAAAAATTGTAGATAACATAATAAAAAAAAAAAAATTAAAACTTACTTTAGGAGACAAAATCATTTTCATACTGAGATAATCTGTCAAAAATAGGCAAAGAAAATGAGAGTTAGAGACAGTAAATAGGGAGATTTTTCTATAACAGGAAAAATGAATAGTAAGCTAAGTCTGATCAATTTTTCTTACAGAGTTTATTTGCGTCCAGGAGGCTTCCTATCCTCTCTCCAACAGTCAGGGCGGATTCGTCGGCTGATGGGGAAGCCGTCAGAGCTGGCTGCAGGCTGGGACCTGCTGCTGAGGCACTGCTGGCAGCTTTAGGTGCTGGAGTTGCGGGAGTTCTTATAGCAGCCACAGCATCTTTAAAAGAGGATTTTTAACTCAAGTGAGCTTTCTTCTAATCATAATGAGAGAGAAATTTCCACTTGCTTTTTTTTTGATAGTTTGAAAAGAAATTGGCCTGCTGACAGATACTAGTAATAACAATAATAATAACATATACTTGAATTCATAGCCTACCTTTTTGTTGGGGTTTTATTAGCTTCTTCCCGATTGTCTTGTTGGCCTCCTCAGCGGCTTCATCTTGCCCTTTGTGCATAACTGATGCTGTCTTTGTAGCAGTTCCTTCAGCCTTTTGCTTCGTCCCGGCTCCCACTTCAGCTGACCTCTCTCCACCAGTTTGAACTGCTTTTGGAGCAGAGACGGCGCCGGGTTCTTCTGCCCCTTTGCCTCTCGTTTCTGTTTTCTCTTTATCCTCACTCGTCTGAGGAGCAGTGGAGGGAGTTCCCACTGTCTCGGCGGTCTTCTTCCCTGATGCGTCGCTTGTGCCTCTCAGTGCTGGTGTGATGGATTTAGAAGGTTTGGGTCCGGCTGAGGCAGCTGGCTGAGCAGAAGCAGGGCTGCTGGTTTGGAGAGCAGGTTGTGCTTTATCGGAGGTTTTGGAGGGCAGAAGCCGAGTTCCACTTTTCACTGTTAGGGGCTTGTTGATGACGGCTGTGGTGTTCCCCTCAAGATTCATCAGCTTTTTGCCTGTGCGCTTGGCAGAAGGTTCGGTTTCCATGGGTTCCATCCTCTTTAGCCCCTGCGGTTCACCATCTTTGAAATCTTTTGATAAATCACCTTCAACAAGTCCCACCTGCTGCTTTATCTGAGAGGCTGTTCCATTTCCTTGTGGCACGGCAGGTTCTGAAGTTGGCAACATTGACACGTTTATGGCCTCTGCTGCATTTTCTGTGACATGTGCCCCGGCTCCTCCATCCTCGGACGCGACTTCAGGTTTAGAAATGCTGGGCTCAACAGAGGCAGTTGACTCAGCAGAAGCCGGCTGTGCTCCATAATCAGAAGGTTTAGTAGGGGGAGCCTCCACTTCTAAGTCTATTGTGATCTCCCCTGAGTCTTGTAAACGCTGTTTTAGGGTCCTCAGACTAAAAGGAAAAGGCAGTGACACTGGTTCGTAGAGGATTCCAGATTAAACTAATAATTAAATGTGAAAATATTTAGAGCCTTTATCATCAGATTAGAGAGAACATGGTGATATACTCACCTCTCAACACGTTTAACTTTGCTCCTGTGTCAGAGAAAAGGAGTGGTTCAGACAAAGCAACTGCTGTAGAGGTCATCTAATTTTTGCTGTTTTGTTATTTCTGTGCCCTTAAATAAACCCTCATAATAATAGTACTTGGAGGGGATGGAATCAGTCTTCTTTTTTTAATTTTTACACGGGGAAATTTCCATGTCTCTACATTAGTTAATGATCCACATACCACAATTTGTGAGTAGTTAAATCCTTCCTCGAGACTATTTCCATCACCACCTTTGTTACACCACTGGATTCAAACATCTCAATGCATATCTGGGGAGGAGAGACAGTTGTGGACAAAGAGACTTGAAAATGTTAGACATGCAAGTAATGCAGGTGTTTGTTATGCCGTACCCTGTTGGCCAAAGGTAGGAAGTTGACGAAAGAGGCAATGGACGCCACCTCATTCGCAACCATCTTGATCAGGTCCACGTTCGTCTCCGAGATCTCCACACAGAGCAGCCGCTCTTCCAGACTTTCCACCGCCAGAACGTTCTGAAAAACGACCAGCAGCTGGTGTTTGAGGAAAGGGACATCCCAAACAAGCTGCTCTTAGTGGTTCAAAATCAGATCAATGACTTACTGTGTTGCTCCATTTCATCAGATTTCTGTACATGACCTCCTACAAGAATAGAACCAGACATGAAGAAAGCTTTAGGTGACTAAACCATGTCATTTGAACAGGTTCTTCCTGCACAACACTGCATATATGCTGAAAGAAGACTTATGAATTTTGTGAATGCGATATGTGGTTCTGGAGTTTGACATTTACCAAATAACCCCAAAAATAGTGCTAAAACTGTGCAGAAGTTTGTCTAATAATGTGGAATGCAACAGTTGATCAGGCTCTACCAAACTCGTGGAGTAAGTGCAGCCTGAACGCAACATTTTCAAGATGGGAACATGGATTTGCTCCGGGCTTATCATACTGTAGAGTCATTTCCCCACACCGCATGCTTAAATGCTTCCCCTGGTTTCTGTACCTCGCTGGATCCGGGATGCATGTCTTCCAAGATGAAGTGGATGCTGAGCTTCAAGCCTCTGACAGAAACTGGACTTTTAATGTGATCTTGGACAAAACTGCAGCATGCGTCCCGGTCACAGAAATACACAAAGGCCTGAAGTAGAGGTGAGAGGAAGAGGGAAAGTTGCTACATCTGGACTCTTCCAATTCAATCCATGACCCAATAGTGACACATATGGGTTGGATAAATTGAGACTAGCTGTTGTCCAGCTAAGGGAAGACAAAAAAAGGACAGGGCGACATGGTGGGGAAGCAGCTCCTTACCCTCCTCTGCAGCGGGAGGACCAGCAGGTTGTAGTTCAGAGAATTCAGAGTCTGCTTGGGAAAGTAACGCCACACCAGCTTAGCAATGTCCTTGTGCGTGTAGTCCCCCTCTGGCAGACCCGTCATCATAATAGTGGAGAACTTAGAGCCCGGATGGTGAACTTGCTAAAGGGCCGAAGGTTCAGAAACACAATCAAGTTTGTGGAGCATGACAGCAGAAGATCAAACGTGTGGAAATTCTACAGCCACCGAGATCCTCACTAACGGAAGACTAGACTTCTTACCTTAATGTAATCCATTTTTTGGATTGTCATAAAGTCTAAAAGAAAAAAAAAGAACAGTCGTTAATAGTGTACGGCACACGTTTGATAACTGGAATTTCTTTCCGTTTGTCTTACCTGGAAAGTCAAACCAGGGAGACACAGTCGGGAACAGGTAGGGACTGGTCGTCATGGTGATCCAAAATGGTGGGGTGGTGCCCTGAGGAATGCCAAATTTTGTGGTGTATATTTCTGCCCCGGGAATGAGGTCCTTTTTGTCCGGGACTGCGTTTGTTGGCAGTTTAGGTGCTGCACAAAGAAAAGCCTAATTAGTCATGTTTTGAAAATGAATGTGGATGTTTTTTCTCATTTTTTATGCCAGAAGAATGACCAAACTGCACCTAAAACCTAATGATTTCTGTGTCGCGCTAAGATGGCTGAGACAGCATCAGCTCAGGGTTTGTTTGTTTTTTTATTAAAAGAAATAACAAAAAAATTAAGCCTATCAATCCATTGGTCCAGCAACGTGAAACTCTCATAGCACCGGCAAGTGTTATATGGAAATATGCAGTGGACAGTTTGTCATAGCATTTATTTTTGTCTATTTGCTTACGTTTTGCTCTTTTGGAGCACCGCGGTAATTTCAACCTGTCGACTTTGTGGTGATGGCCGCGCCTTAGCAGACTGTACCAAATTCCCAGCCGATCGGCATCATAGACGGTCTCAAATTCAACAAAGACCTAAATTACACGAAAACAGACAAGACCATGAAGACATGCAGTTTAAACTCATTGAAGCACCATTTGTGTGTCTGTGTGTGTGAGCACCTTGTTGAGCAGAGGCAGGTAGTTTCTCACAGAGCCAATTTTTCTCAAAGTATCTTTGAGATTTCTGACCTCATCCGGCGAGATGTTCTGGATGTACACGGTACTCGTTCCGTCATCTTCTGTCCTCTGGACGACAGCACACGGACAATCATACCGGCACGCACACACAGGCGCAACCTCTGAGTCTAAGTGAGTCTGGTCAAAAACGAACCACCTCCTCGTGTTGAAGGGCATTCATATTTCACATTCTGAGATTAAAATTATTTGAATGTCTCAGAGTCTTAATTTCTAAGGTCAGAAGTGGTTCATCTTTTACAGGATGAGGCAGAAACAGTGTGTGATTGTGTTACTCACAAAAGGCGTCAGGTTCATCAGAGACTTATAAAACCCCATCTGAAAAGAAATTTAACAGTGATAAAGCTACAAAGCTCTATTTATGACTTTTATAAAGTTTATATAGATTAACTTTAAAATATCAGGTTGTAAAAAAATGGGGCTTATAAATTGAGGAATAGCAGCTCTTTGGGTTTCTTTCAGCTCCTTTACAGCAGAGGCATCTTTAGATGAAGATGACGATGGCTTGGATGCTGCAAAATTAGTCCCCTCTGCTTTAGCCTGAACCCCATGAATTAAATATTTGAACTGCTTTCAAAATCAAGCGTAGCTTTTTTCAGCTACTTACCGGCGTCATCGAAATTTCACTCTTCACAACATTCAAACAGATGGTCTGGTTTATGAAGTGGATTTGCCGTTGGAGCGACGCTCTGATAATGTCCTTCACAGTCCTCACGTTCGGCATGAGAGCAAACGCCTGGGAAAGAGCAGAGACGCTTGGCACAGAACCGCTGGATGGAACACCAGATTTACAGGCCACTGCCTACCATGGACGTCTGAGGTATGACGAAGATGTTGTCGTGCGCGTACTCAAAGCCAAAATTGCAAAGGAGGTTTACAAGGTCGGCCTCTGTGTATGCCCCATGTTCAAACTTTGGAAGGTTGGTGATCAACAGAAGTGTTGAGTCTCGAGTAAAGGGCTTTTAAAGAAAAAAAAAGTTTAAGAACACATATGGTAAGGCTCAAATAGCTAATGTAATATCTATTCTTTATGTTTAACTGTGTTTAAAGAAAGCATATCCTGCACATTAAACTTACCCTGGAGGCCAGGACACTGTTGGGTAAAACACAGTCTGTGAGGAGGAAAAGTCAAAGTAAAGAAAAACATGAATCATGGCGGTCAGACAGAGAAACGACTGTCAAAGGGAAATCTTTCAGATTTCCAAGCGAAGGTCTTACTGATGCGTTGTGGCTTCAAATACCACTGCATGGTCTCCCCAGCAGTCAGAGCGGCGGGCAGCGCTCTCCGGCTCTGTGACGTTGGAGCACATGCTGGGGCGGCTGAAACGCTGCCTGTAGATTTCAGCGCTGGATTTTTCTGGGTTTTGGCAGCAGTCGCAGAACCTGAAATGAGGAGAATGTTTACACTATGTCCTTTATTTCAAATAAATGAGAAAACAACCTTTTGTCCTGTGTACCCGTTTGATTTAATGTGGTCACTGCTCCTCCAGCAGTCCCCTTTGCCTTCAAAGCAGCCCCAGCTGCCAGCGGCTGTGATGCTGCTGTCTTTTTATCTGGCGCCCTGCTCTCCGGGACCTGCAAAGAAGTCCTGTCCCAGGTTTTTGGAGTGGTGGTCTGTTGTGTCAGAGGTGGATCAGCTGCAGGTATGTGTGGTGTGGTCTCAGCTGGACGGGCTGGTGGGCAATTCTCGCTGGGCTTTGCCTCTTCCTGCTCGCCTCCCTCACCCACAGCAGAGCTTTCCAACGCTTGCGTTTTCCCAAACTCTGACAGTGCCGGACCTTTAACCTCTGTGGTCTTCACGTCAAGCTCAGGCTGCTGCTCGGCTTCAGAAGCCGCTGATTTTCCTGTGATGTCCACCTTGGATGTTCCTTTAGTGTCTCTAGCCTCTGGTTCGCAATGTTTGGCCTTCAAGGACTCAGAGGTAACTGGCTGATTTTCTGATGCTGTAGATTTGGATGTTTCTGTTCCTTTGCTGCTTGGTGGGTAACTCTCACTGGATTCAATGGCTCCCCCTTCCCTGGAAGCCAAACGCTGAGCAGGTTTTTCATGCGTTTCACCCCTCACAGCTTCCTCCGCCTTAGGTTTTTGTTCAGTTGTGGCAGTTTCTGCTTTTGAACCTGCTACTTCTGCCTCTGCAACCACTTCCGTTCCTTCTGCTGGTTCAGAAAAGGTCATGTCTGGCAAATTCTTCACCTCTGTGTTGACTATGGGTGCCATCGCAGATTTTTTTGTGTTAACTTCTGATTTTGGTTTGGTTGTTGTTTTCTTTTTTACCAGAGGAAGCTTTACTCCTTTCGTCAGGGTGTTGCCTATTTTTAAACTTCTGCATTTGGCTTTCTTGGAGACACTCTTCGCTTTTGAAACCAAAACCTTTGTGTTTGTCAGGCGTTTGCCTGCTGAAGTGTTTCTGGAGTTACTCTTTATGGACAAAAGCTTTTTAAGCGGCAAGACAGTGAGACCTCCACCAGAACCAGCCTCTTTGGTCTGAGCTGTGGTGCCAAATGACACAGCAGCTTTTCTGTGGGGAAAAAAAGAGTTGCAATGGGTCACATTGTAGAAAAGTAGCATTTTTGATACATTTTTACGCCTCGACAAAACCTAATTTATTCATTTTTAAGTCATTTAAGTAGAAGAAGCAGTGCTGGTAGACTATCCTGAAGTAGTTATTTACAATGCGGCTTAACACGGGGGGCATAGTAAAATTGCACTTAATTAAACTTATTAAAGAAAAGGTAAATAGTAAAATCGGGAACTGATCGCACAATTAAGATTAAAACTGATGCTGATGCTACACAAACGTTGTCTGTGTAAAATAAGACTTACGGCTGAGGAGGCTTCTCCTGCTCTGCTGCAGAAGACAACGGAGCTCTCTCAGGAACATGGCCCTGTGTGTGCGTTCATCTAATTACTGACAGCGGGATTTACAAAGCAGCAGGCAAATGCCGGTGCACATGTGCACTTCACAGCGGCAGACGCAGCAGCGTGTGTCCTACCTTTTCTGTGACGATGGCGAGTGAAACGCCTTTCACTTTGAGGGTCTTTAGGCTCCTCAGTTTCTCTGCATCCTCCCCTCTCTCAAAACACACGGCTGCCTAAATATACAGACACACATTGATAGGGGTGGCTTTATCAAAATTATGCTAAACATCCAAAGATAAAAACAGTATGAATGGGGACAGGTTTCATTCCATTCAGGTCACAAATGAACCTCCCAAAATCATACCTCTCTTTTTGACTTCAAAAACACAACCGACTTGGTTTTTCCATAGTCCTCCATGGCAGAAACCACATCACTGCGACAGAGTGTATCAGAAATTCCTCTGAGCTTCAGCATGGTTGGAGGTGAGGTCTTACAGAGCTGATGCAACACATAAAAAAAATTTGATGAAATCTGGACTCGTCTCAGCCGCACTGTTCTCAGTGCTTAGAAAGAAGCAGCGTTTCATATTGTCCCACAGATATGAACTGCACGCTGTGGAGCAAACTGAACTTAACCAACCTTAGGCTGTGGATGAGAACTTGTCTTGCTCTTCTGACGATGAGGCTTCGCTTTCATTGAGGTGGACGGAGAAGATGAAGAAGCATCAGAGCTTGCGCTACTTTTTCCTGGCCCTGGCGAGGATGAAGAGCCCTGTGTGTCTTTGGACGGTGAGGAGGTGGATGTCATCTTTGCAAGCTCAGCCAGCACGAAAGGAACCATAGTTTTTACCATCTCCTCGATGCTGGGCTGTTCTGACAGAGACTGGATGGCTGAGGAGACACAGACACAAAGATTTGTTGGAAATGCATCATAAATCATTGCATCTCTCAGTGTGGCCTATATGGGGTTTTTTTTAATGTTGCAGCTGCTTTGTGTCCAAACCTGACGTTTCCAGGACTTTCTTTGTCAGCAGCTCTAAGCTGCATGCTTTCTTTTTCTTAGAGACAGCCTTTCCAGTAGAAGCCTGTCTTTTACGGCCTCTCCTGGGAGACGGCCCCTTGCTGTGACTCAGCGTGGGGGATGATGGACGCTCAAGGCTCCCTCTTGGCGTCAGCCGCTTCTCGTCGCTCCTCTTGGGTGACGACGATCTCCTTTGTCTCCTGGGAGAGAATCGCCTTTTTGGTGACCAGCTTCTCTCGTCACTTCTCCTTGGTGATGAATGCCTCTCGTGACTCCTGCGTGGTGGCGGTGACAAGCTGTGATAGGCCAACCTTTTCCTCCCCCTCTTTCGTGGAGAGGATCGTCTTTCGTGGCTTCTTGAACGCGATCGACGGCGAGACGAAGTGGGGTGGTCATGCCGTGGAGACCGAGAACGGGACCGAGACCACGACCTGATGAGTCATTGAAGTTGAAGTTTTTTGCTTCAAATTAATTGCAGAATTCACAATTTCCAATTGAATTAAAGGACAAATCATGCATCCAATTCAATTAGAAATTCTCCTTCATATACATCATGTCTGATGTTTATACAGACCTGTGAGTACGCCTGGGGCTGTGTGGTGATCGTTCTTGGTAGACATGGGGCTCCCTCCTGCTTGCAGAACTTTGGTGGTGGAGGGGGCTGTGGGAGTGTGAACGAGAAAGGCTCTCATGTCTCGTTTTAAGAAAAGGTTGATCAGAAGACTTTGCGCTTCCATTTGAAGCTTTAAAAAGAAAACTTAATACATGGCTTTCTTGTTTTTACTATTTGATGATCTGACAAATAAACATACCTGTGGAGCAGCGGTACTTTCCCATCCCACTGTGGGTATCTGTAAAAAAAGAAAAAAAAAGGAACACGATTAAAACATTAAGGGCTTTCCTTTATTTTTTGGACTAAGCAGAAACCTACAGATAATCCACAAACTCATCAATAAGCAAACACTAATGTGAATCAGGAACCAACGCCATATATTCAACTATCTAGGCCTTTGGTCAACGCTGTTGTTTTTTAATGTTCATATTCAGACTTTGAGACTAAAGAGAGTGTTAGAATAATAACAATTATAAAAGCAAAGACTGACTGTTCCCGGAGCAGTTTGCAGTTCTCCAGATGCAGGCTGGTTTTCTGATGGGAGATCCAATCCTAACAGAACAATAAATACATATTCTTTTATTCAGAAAGGCTTCACCAATGCACAGTTGTTTTCAGCTTCAACAGTTACTCCCATTTATGTTGTCACCAATAACATTTCACTAAATTCAACAGTGGTCTTAAACATCAAGTGTAACATTTTTCTTTTTTTTTTTTTTAAATGCCATCTTGAGCTGCTGTGATTCCCTTCTGGAGGCATGCAATGGTAAAGAAAACTGTAGTAAAACAATGGTCAAAAAGAGCTGCTGAGATGATGGCTGCATATATCCATGGTAACTGATGATTCTCACATAGTATTCAATCCACTGGAAATTGGAGAAGAAAAGTTTGCAAAAATTACAGAAGTGCCAACACTGTCTCATACGTTAGAAAAATAGATACATTTAAAATCCCTTGTATTTGTAAGGAAAACATTTACCCATATTAGAGAACATACAGTAAGTGACATTAGAAATATCACTATTCAACATCACCAAAACTCTGATGTTCTCATTTGTAATATATTTGTGATAATGACAAAAACTATGTTACTGTTAATATGAAAACAATTTATAAATTCTAGAAAATCTTCAGATTATGCTTATGGAAAGTCCCCAGTAAAAAAAATAAAAATCCCCTTCACCAGACTAGGCTTAATATTACTGTCTTTAACAGCTGGCAGTCATGTTGTTCTTGTTGAACATAGGTTCAACCACAAAGATGTCTATGTGTATCAGTATTTTCCACCAAAATACAAGGGAAAAAAACAGTACAGAACAGTTTAAACGTTGGCAAAAGACTGTTTCTTAACAGCGTGCAAAAGCTACCAAATAAAAAAGGAAAATACAACAACATTGTGCATCATACTCGGATCATATCCATTACCCCCATAATTTAATTCTTTAGTTTCTATGCGCATCTTAAAGACCACTACGTTTTAAATAATAACATCAATACAGAGGTTCACAGGGATTAAAGCAGAAAAAACAGAAAGCTGGCGCTTTGGTTTCAGATGAAGCTTCAACAAGAGAATTCTTTAGTTTCTTTGTGAAGAGTTCACCCGTGCCATCATCATTCAAAAAATTGTAGATTGCATGTCTTGATGACTTAATTAATTGTATGGTATTCAAATTATTATTTAAGTAGCATGTGAGCCCATGTGGCATGCCATGCTACAACTTGAGAGCTCAAAGGACATTAAATAGTGATTTTCATTACAGATGCTATTTTTATGTTCAATCTTGACACCCTTACCTGTACAGTTCAATCTGATTATCATTATATAGTCATCCATAGAACAGTAACTGTGTATTCTATAAATAAACTGTGCTTGTGTGTTGCCAACATACATTTCTTGTTTATATTTTCCTGATTATGAAAAAAAAGTATTGTCATGTCTGTTAAATTAAATAGTAGATTTAAGTGTTGGGAATGGGGTAGGCAAGTTTCCTGAATCCACACCATTCTCATTATCACCTATAAATAATCTTCTTTTTTTTTGGAGGACACAATGACAGACACAATGACCAGCCATATAAACTATATTGCCAAAAGCATTCAATCAAAGGTGTTCTGTCGGGCTGAGATCAGAACTCTATGCAGACCAGTGAAGCTCATCCACACCAAACTCTCTCATTCATGTCTTTTTGGACTTTGCTTTGTTGACAGTCTGGTTGGATGAGGAAGGGGTGATTTAAGGGGCACAGTTCTTGGGCTAATCTGAAGGCCGCATAAAGTATGGAGGTCTGCAGCATTTGACTCTGCAGAAAGTTGCTGAGTGCGCTCTCTTCACCTCAGCCTAAGCCATCCCTTATGTGGCGTCCCACTTTGTGGGCGAGTTGCTGTTTCCAGTCACTTCCACTTTGTTATAATACTACTGTGAGTTGACTGGGGAATATCTGGGGGGGGGGGGGTTCACGACTGGACTTGCTGCACAGGTGGCATCCTATCATATTGTCATGGTGGAATTTCCCCAAGTACAGAGAGCAACCTACTCTTTCACAAATGTTTGTGGAAACAGTCTGCATGCCTAGGTGCTTGATTTTATACACCTGTGGGCATGGAAGTCATCCGAAAACCTGATTTAGATGATTTGGATAACTAAAAACTGAATACTTCAGGCAATATATTGTATCAGTGTTTGCTCAGGGCTAGAGTTCCTGTGTGACCCTGAAGTCAACAGTTTAGTCCTCCATCACTGCCTCACCCACTGATGGCCACTACCTTCTGAGACCTGATCTTATTTCTGGGTTGCTGATAGGAAAAAGACTTTGGCTAGTTATCGGGATACTCATTTAGGAATAGCATTCTTCTCTTAACTCAAAATGGCAAATTCCCATATGGTTACGTAATTTTTTTACAACTCTTATGCATTCAGTTGAATTCAAACAGCGCATGTTCTCTTCAATTGAGCCAGTTTGCTTACTATGCAGTACCCTATAAACTGCCACTTTGATGTTCCAGCAAGCAGACTTGGACTCCTTAAGTAAAAGTGTGTGCACTTTTACTGAAGGAGTGAAAGCTTGAATAACTTGTAATCATGATCCCCATAGTGCTCTCATAGATGGCATCTCTGTAAATGAACAAAAATCTGATGAAGCATCAGAAAGCATTAATCCCTGTGATCAAAATACAAAAATTATAACACATTTATATTAATTACAAAAAAGAATCAGTGCTTAACTAACAGGATAGTCACCTCTCACATATAAACAATGATGCAAAACCCTAAAATGCACTAAAGTCAATTTCACAGAAAACAGTACAGTCTTTCACTCACCTTCTTGTCAGTACATTCTGTCTTACATAGAGAACAGGTATGTGAAAAGACTCTGGGTATGGTTGCAGCGTAATCATGCATCATTGCCAGTGTTGGTAGACCATCGGAAGATGCCACAGCTTTCGAGGGTACCTTCTTTCCCCGAGATTGCAGTTCAAAGCATGCTGTACGAGTAATGTTTGTGGGATTTGGGACTGGTTGAGATGGAACATTCATGCTTTGGTAAGGATCACTTGGGATAAGCACTGAATTCAGCAAGGGATGCGAGGCGTCTGTGACAGTGGAGTTGAATGCAGCTGAAGGAACAGAAGGACTTGCAGCTGGAAACAAAGCCTGCCACATTTGCAATACTGATTGTGTTTGCATTTGATACTGTTGACTTTGTTGTTGTTGAATATTCTCCACTTGTTCTTTTCTCATTTGCTCACCAACCAGTGACTCTTGGCCTTCAGTTTTTCTATGACCAATATTGCAACCAAGATCAGTACTGCTCCTAGGCAAAAGGCTAGGATTTACACCATGGAATGAACTGCTGGATGGCTGAATGTTTGATACTGATTTTGAGACTTTAGTAAAAATTGTATCCGTGTTATGCTTTGGCTGAGACAAGGGGATTTGCTCATAAGTCTGGTCTGATTGGACATAAATAATTTTTCTGAGAGTGGTGACAGAAGTCAATGGGTCACAAGAAGAATCCATGGAACTTCTTTTTAACTCTATGTCAATTCCTTGCGGGTCTCTACTGCTGTTTTCATCACTGAACGTGTCCATCAGCAACATACTTTGACCCCTTTTTGAAACCGTCTTTCCAACCTCTTTCTTGGCTTCTGCTGTATATTTTCCTGTATTTCCATATTCAATCACTTTATTTGATAGTGGTTTGTCATCCTGGTGTGTTCCTGCCATTCCAAATGTACCTATTGTGTCTACTGCACTCATGCTTTTGGTGAGTTGAGATTCAAATTGGGGTACTGACTTGACAGCAGTGACTGCTCTCTTGGCTTTCTGCTTGCGGATATCATCTAAGATGGAAGGCAGATTCTCAACAGTGGTCTGATCATCAGGGTAAGACAGGAGTGCATTCAAGTCATCCTTTTCAAGTCCAAAGTCCCTCATGATCTTGTCAGCTAATTGTTGAGTGTCCTTTGGGAACCTCGATTCAGGCGACCCATTCTGACTTGTTACTCTGGTGTCACAATCCAATGAATCTGGTAAATGTGTGGAGGAATCATCCACAGGGAGCTTTTTGGAGACCGACAGCAAGTCCAAGGAGTTACTGCGGCTTTCAACAATAGAGTGCCCATATCCTTCAGGGGCTGGTGATGTACGGGAAAAAATAAGCACTCTGCTTGTGGAAGGAACCTCTTCTCTTTGAGTTCTCGTTAGGTGAGCAACTGGACCTATAGGCTGAATGTTCAAGCCTAGGTTACTCTGTAACTTTGCCACACTTTGTTCAACTTCATTCCTCACTGGCAAGGCTAGTTGTTGTTGGACTGCTCCTCCAGGATTCACAGAGGAAGGTCCAAAAGCACTGACTCTGGATCCAAATCCAAGGAGAGAGGATTCCATGCAAAGTTTTTCACCTGCCAGTCCAGCAGAAAGTACATATTGCCCTTGAGAGGAATGTTTTTCAGAGGTCGCAGGGTTATATATTGGATGGGACATGGCCTTAATAATCTTCAGAAATTTCAGGATGCCAACAGCAGTTGAGGTTGGCGTTAGTGTGACTCAATACTAACAGTGCTTTTAGATAAACAAGCTGTACAGATGCAGCCTGCTTATTGGCCAGTGGCAGGCTCCTTGTGAGCCCTTCTACATTAAGAGCTCCAAAGCAAAAGGCAAGGGAATGCGATGGCATATAAAAGCTAAAAAGCATATGAAAAAAAAAGTAAGTTACTGAACAGGACGGGGTTTTGAGCTTCTGATAGGTGGCTCCATCATCTGGAAAGTGTCATCTTGATTTCCATCATCTGCTGGCTCCTGTGAGAAACACATTCATTCAGTCAATAACTTTCTTGCCTTAGTTAGTATAATAATGGAGGCAAAAGCAGTGAATTGACAAAAAAAGAAAATACATGGAAGACAAAATAAAGACAACATTCGTTTCTTTGATAGTTAAAAAAAACAATAGACGGAAATAAATAACCACATTCAAAAGAGGCATTTTGACTGCATTTATGCCACAACTTGCCTACACAATGAAGCATCAATGAAAGTTGGTTTGCTTCCTTCTATAGGAACTAATACTACATGGCCCCACACAGACTGTCACTTTTTTTGTGGGAAATTTCAAGAATGGAGTGACAGATCAAGTCAGACACCTTCCATTTTTGCAACCTGGAGTTTATGCAGAACCATATGCATCACGCACTCACAAGACTCCCCCCAACTCTCAGAATGCACACATCTTAAACAACATCTCAGGGTGAGTGTTGGGTAATGAGATGTCCTCTGAGGAGCCGGGTCTTCAAGTTTCTTGAAGACAGACAGGGATGCTCTGTTCTTGTAGCGCTTGTGTTGGAATAATTGTAAATACATTCATCACATATGATATGAAGAAGTGTTGTTGTTTGCTGTGCACTGTGTTTTTCCATTCTGCGTCTCAACAGATGTTTCCTGTCTTGCAAGGATAAAGAAGCCGCATCCTTAAACGGGTGACACCTCTTGACCTTTAAAATAACTTGTATGTTCGAGAGGACTGCCGTAGCCTTCAACCAAGGTTGACTCAGCAAAAGATTGCAGACGTTACTTCTGTAAACCCATATAAAGAAGATAGGAATGTTATGACCTGATTGTGCTCTGATGATAGTGTGTGTGTGTGTTCCCCACACCTTAGAGTCGGAGATTGTAACTGAGCACAACTCTGCACGTTTTCCTCATGAGCATGGATAAATCAACTTGCTGACCAGACTCATTCCTTCTCGTCTCCTGAGTGCTGAAATGTCATCTGAACAAACCTGACAGCTTGGTAGGTCATTCCACCATTGTAGAATGATGCATCTGTAGTCTGGAGAGACCGAGTTGTGACATACAGTAAGCTTTTGCAAGAGTATTCCAGTAGAAGTAAAATCAGTTTAGATCTGAGTACTGTGGAGTATGGTTGGTTTGGCTGGGACGACAAGCGATTCAGTTTCATAGAGATTTAGTTGGAGGTGATGGGCTTTCATCCATTTTGAAATGTCAGAGAGTCTCAGATACGTGCTGAGAACGCGCGGTTTGGGCAGGTGGAATGGCTGATAGAGCTGGGTATCCTCTGCAGAGCAATGCAGGTGCAACCAGCACCTGATCGGTTCAGTCTCTCACCCACTTACCATTACGTTTCGATGGCAAGCCACTCCAAGTAAGCAGACTGAAAACCCCACCAGAGCAATATGTTTAACATCCTCTTGAAACTTGTCCTCAAATGAGCTACAGAGCATTTACCCAAGGTTCAAACATGCACCTACAGAACCATTCTCAACAGCTGTGATATTCAAAATGGCAGTAACCCCTCTGAGAATTCACGCATGAGTCATCTCCTCTGCTCTGTGATGCACTGTGGTTCACATCATTACAGTTGCTGCCTTATTTTCCCTGTAGACAGCTGAAATGGAAACCTGTACCTCTCTGTGCAGCACTATGCAAGTATTAAAATCACATCTTTATGTTTGCAGGAAAACAGGAAATGGTTATATATTTATTGAAATGTACAACTACAAACGAAAATGTAAAATCCATGTTTTTTGGCTGACAACAGTTCTTACAATTTCAATGAGCCTGAAAGACTATCTGGTAAGACTACCTTAACTTTTAGTCAGAGCCTAAACCTTCAGACAAGTCTTCTTTTCATAGTAGTTTTCAGGAAGAGATCTCTAATCTTGATATGTTGGCCGATTTTGTTCCCCCTTCACCATCTCAGTAACAGAGGCGTGTCGGCAGTGGACTCTGACCCCCTTTCACGTGGTACATGTTTACACATCCGTTTCTTTCACATACAGGCACTTAGTATAGTTAGACCTCTGGACCAAGGTTTTTTCCACAGCCACACATTATTCTCTTGTACAATTATTTTCCTTGATATATGTTAAGGCACACCATTAATCATTGTGATGAGAATGCATTCATTTTGAGATATTAATCCACTACACTAGCCGCCCATGGATTCCCCTTCGAGTGCTGATCCACTGGTGGAGCGATATAGGTCCATTTAAAGTTATATTATTATAAATTAAGACTTGAACTTTAATCACTGATAGTATATTTAATTTGCATTTCCTCCTTAACAAATAACCAAACACAGCCAGGATAAAACCCATTTTTCTTGAAAATCTTGTGGAGCGATTAACTAAAATGGCTCTTTAAGATAAGGTCAACAAATGAAAACAGCAAAGTTTAAAGTATCCTTAAATATAGCTGGAGTAGTGTCTGAAGCTCACAGTTAAGCACAGACTGCTCTGTTCATAGAGCATAAACATTTGGGAGAATACATTCCTAAAGTAACTGTAGGGAGAATGTTTATATGGATATAATGCATTCTAGCTGCCTGGATGGAGACGGCCTGTCAGAGGACAAAAAGTGAATGTTTATGATATGGATAAACTATATTCTGGCTACACACCTGGATGGAAACAGCCTGGTGTAAGACAAAAAGTACAGATAAGGGATTACCAAATATAAGGGCAGGTGCACCCAGAGTTAGGCAGAGTTTTCTCTGACATCGGGCGATGAGACCTCTCCAGACTTGATGCATCCATCGATACTTCCGACTCGGACCTGGCCGACAATAAAATCCTCTTTGTTCGACCAAGTCGGCCTCAGCAGAGTTTTTCCTGCAGCACCTTCACTGGAACTATTTGAAGACTATCATCCCATAATTCACCACACTGGCTTCAAATACAACTAATCTAATGTGTGTAATAATCTCTATGCGAGTCAATTATTGGGTAAAAAAGTAATATGTCAGACTATTTGTCTTCGAGGAATCCATGCCAAAAGGTACATATCTGATGACAAAAATCAAGGAACATGTCTAAAATGAAAGTACTTTTAAGGAGTTACACCTTACGTATAAGAAATTATTTTCAGTCTCATGCTTTAACCATTTTTTTTGCTCCAAGTGACTTGCAGATTGTCAATAGTGGTGTTTAACAAGACCACAACTGAAAATTCAAAATAAATTTTAAATAAAAAGATTAATATGCACCAGACTACTTGTCAGAGGCACTCCCAAAATTTGGAACTGTAATGTCTGAAGCCTGTAGACTGGTGTAGACTGTTCTGTTGGATAGCATCAACATCTGAAAAAAGCTATAGTGTTGAGGGGAGGCTTAAGAGATGTGGATAAACTATATTCTGGCAACATGCCACTCCAGATTTGATGCCTCAGTCTGTACTTCTGATAAAGACCTGGCTGAGAATAAAAACCTCCTTAGTTTCGACCAGGGAGACCATTTTCCTGCAGCATCTTCATCTGAGCTTTTTTAAGACGACCATCCCCTTAATACACCACAGAACCAAGTTTGTAAACCAGCGAATATCAATGAAAAAGCTGCACTTTTTGAGCTGCGTTGCTATCATTTTTAAAGTTTCACGTGTCCTGCCTGCATGGCGCTTCTGTGGGCCCCAAAGCAGGGGGAATTTTGTTTTGTTTTTTCTTTTTGTAAAACAGCAAATGCACCAGGTGTTTTTATCTTTTGGAGAGTTTTATGATACTAGGAACCACATTCTGCCGCCGTGCTTTAACGACAGGCCTACTAACGACGCCACGATTTAAAATGCAGCTACAACCGCCGGTTAACAAACGAGCCTCATTCCGTGGTGTGGTGAAAAGGCGGTTTCATACCTGCTGCTCTACGCCTGTGTCTTGCAGCTTTGGTGCTCTGCAAGCAGCTCCTCAAACTTCTGTGCACTAACGGTGCCCCGGTGCTGCAACTTTGCTCTGAACAAGCAGGCGTGAAGGCGCAGGAGGGTGTTTCTCCACAGACCAATGTGCCAATAGAGCGCTAAAGAAAAGTCTCTTTAAAGTTGGAAGCTTACGTTCTTTGGTGCTCTATTGTCAATTATTTGGGCTCAACGCCTTATTTAAAATCCGACCCCTGGCTGTGGCTGGCATTTGCCAGCAACAGTGTTGAGGCGGTTTTTCTCCCTCGACCAGCTCGCTCCTCCACACTCGGTGAGAGGCACGCGCTCAGTGAAAACTCTTAAAGTCCCTCCAACGTGCTCAGCCCATACAGCTGAGCGACTACGGAACGCGTGATGGTTCAGAAATAGTAACAGTTGCAGCTATTAGCTCGAAGCTGCTGTCACGACTATGTTTTAGATCAAATATACAAAAAAGTGTTCAAACTAAACAAATTTTCTCAGTTTAATGCCCCTACGAACACAATAACTTATGATAGTAAAAAAAAAATCAATGTAGCGAAGTTACTTTCGTTTAAATTTGTATGGCATGGATATACTTAAACAGTAACAGGGGTAATAATGTATGATTCATGCCGAATAAATGCCACGGTATACAATCTGCAATGTACATTTTGTGTAAAATTGTTCGTCTAATCTAGGCAGACGTCACATTTTAGGCCGCCCTTTTTAAATAGAATACGTTTTTTTATTGGTTGAGATGGCTGTCAATCACAGGTAGGGTGACTCAGACCACAGTCATGTGACAGATGTTTTTGTTGAGTCGCTTCCGCATTGACTGAGTGTTTTCGCCGTATCATGTGGGTGTCAGACACCCAAACTAACGGGGTCAGGGGTTAAAATATCCAAACCGACTCTTCCAAAATATCTAACAGAAGACTGAGGACACACTGCCGCTAAAGAGACTCTTCCAGGGCGTTTTTTAAAGCGAGGGCCCGGTGACGGCGATGGCGGACGGGGAACGGTCACCGTTGCTGTCCGAGCAGCACGATGGGACCAACGGCTTCTCTCCCGGGCAAAGCTCGCATGGATATCCGCCTAAACCTCGGAGTAAGTCAGCTGTTCTTTCAGCTTCCGTGTCTGAGACGTACAGACGCGTGAATATGTTTCTGAACCGCAGGCTTGACCATATCAATCTGTGTTAAGTCTTGGAAATGACAAAATATGAATAACTGTTAGCTGTTGTGTTTGAAGGCGCGCTAGCTGATCGTTTAGCTCAAGAATGCTGGCATCTGTGGCGTGAAGAGACACCTAGAGGAGATGTACGAATGGAAATTCAATTTGTACACACTTTTGTTTCGTCACCGAAAACAATCAGCGTTTTTAACCCCCCCACCCCCACAATGACTCCACTGTATTGAAACATGCATGTTCCATCCGTAAAATGGGCTTCACAAGTAGAGTGTTTTCAAGTGCTTTAACGAGATTTAATCGGTATGATATTGTATGCATGGTGGACAAAAGCAAGACATTCATGCAGACTTTGCATTTCTGACTAAATCTTGTGAGAGTTGAGGAAGCGAATTATAAAAGACAATCTTTTCCTATGTCCCCATATGACCAGCTCATCCAAATGTGGGGTTTGTTAAGCTTATGCCATGAGTGGTTTTGGAGTTTTAATCTAAAATGTCTCTGTGGGCCACTTGTCATCAAACTCTGTCACGAAGTTGAGGTCAAACAGTGCGAAGAGGAATAAAGATAAGACTTGATCTACTTTTTAGAAAGAAGATTTCTGCATGTACCTCACTTGGTGCTTCTCTTTTGTTCTTATCTGCTTAGAAACTTTTCTTTTTCTTCTAAAATTCTTGTGCTAATTTTAAACCTTATTTGGTTTTTCCTTTATTGCTTTTGGTTGGGTTTTGGCAGTGCCACTTACACTTATGACACCCCATGTGCAGTTTAAATTATGGAGATTTTTTTAAATAATTTGTCTTTTTTAATTGAACTTTAAGTCTGGATTTCAGCTCTAACTGTTGCCAGAAGTAACACATGGCACACACTTACCTTTGATTTTCACAAGAATGAACAATACATAGATATTCTTATTTTACCCAGGGTTGATCACTGTGACATGCAAAAAGTTGGTCCAAGTATTACATGTCATTCATTTTAAAAATCTCAAAAGAAAACTCAGCGCTTTGCTTATTGTCCGACCACCCCCCAGGTTTAGCACCGTTCCCCAGTTCAGTGGCCCCCGGAGAGCCTCCGCCTCCGTACTCCCCGCAGGGCAGCCCGGACAGCAGCAGCGCTCCGGTCATCAGCTGCCGGGTCTGTCAAAGCGCCATCTCTGTGGAGGGCAAAACCCACCAGCATGTGGTGAAGTGCAGCATCTGCAACGAAGCTACGGTGAGTCACACTCTGCAACATTCAGACCTTTGAAGGGGAGTTTTATAGTCGGCGTTATCCTCTTTTCTAAAATCACAAGGCTGCTAATGTTCCCTGTAAGAATGACAAACTCTAAATGTTTCCTTTTTTTTTTCTTTTTTTTTTTTTTTTTTACCTCCGTGTGTGTTTCAACACTGTTCTGGCTGCAGCCAATTAAAAACGCCCCTGTTGGGAAGAAGTACGTCCGCTGTCCGTGCAATTGTCTTCTGATCTGCAAAGTCACGTCGCAGAGGATCGCCTGTCCAAGGCCTTACTGGTAAGAAGAACAAACAAGCCTGGGATCAGTTTACATCCACGTCAGAACAGGCTTTTAATCACACCACCCGTGTTGTTGAGAGGCTGCCACTTCTTCTGGAAATAATTCATTTTTTTATGCTTTTAATGGCAGTAAACGCATCATCAACCTGGGACCGGTCCACATTGGCCGGGACAGTCCTGAGCCACAGCATCAACCCGTCGGAATCAGAGTCATCTGTGGACACTGTGCCAATACATTTCTGGTAAGAAACACACTCAGAAACACACTAACGGTTCACACCAAGTCAGGCAAAGAACATTCAACTTTATTTACTAATGTCTTAAAGCTTTTTTTCCCTTCTGTTTTTGTTCGTTGTCGGCATTCTTTTAATGAAACATGCTGAGGTCTCCTTCTGCCTCACACACACAGTCCCTTCCCATCCCCGCCTTTTCTTTCAGTGGACAGAATTCTCAGACCGGACCTTGGCCCGATGTCCACATTGCCGGAAAGTGTAAGCATCCGTGCACTTTTCTCCATCTATGAGCGGTAGTCAAGCATATGGATGCATATTTACTTGGCAAAAGTTATTTATCTATGTCTTAATTTGCTTTTCAGCTCTTCGATTGGTCGGCGGTATCCCAGGAGGAGGAGCTGGCTGTGTTTCCTGCTCTTTGTCGTTTTTGCAGCCTCCACGGCTGGTCTTGTGGTGTGTATCAACGTGTGAAGTGTTCATTAGATGACTAAATCCTTCTGTAGGCTTCAAGATGAAATTATGCTGTCAACTGGATGTTGAATCAGTACTGTACAAGTAAGGAGGCCAACAAATGTGACAAATAGTGACTTTACCGGTGTGGACTTGATTCTATCGATAATATATAGATGTTTTTTAGGTCCTCGTCTCATTGGATTTCACAGGATTTGTATTTATTTGTAGTTCCAGTGGGATGAATATATTTGGACACACGTTCTAATTTTGAATGAAAAGCTTTTAATTGAGAAAAATAACGAGAACCTTACTTTTTGAAGAGGGATATGAGCTTGTTTTGTCTGTTATCTGTCTGGTTCTAATCGAGTCTGTGTGTGTTTCAGGTTGGTACATGGAAGCCAGCCATGAACTCGAAGGGGATCTATGCGTCCTGGGTGCTGCTGATTCTGCTTGCTCTGTTCACCTTGTTACGGACCATCTATTGGAGGTGTCTGAAAATCAGCGATCCCATATCCAGTATCACGTAAAGACAGAGCGACTGAAAAGGCGAGAGGAAGGAGGTGAGAAGTTGACGTGGAGGTCAAAAGAAAAAACAGTCAATTATCCACAACCACTCTTGCTGAAGTGAAAAAAATAAAAATACCATGAAGGGGAGATTGAAGGATTTCAAGATATATATATATATGATAAAAGTAAGGTAAATCAACATGTTTAAAATACAACATATATTATGGATTAGAAATATAACAGTAATCCAAGAACTACATGTCATTTATTGTTTGTCATTGTCTTTCTCATCACAAAGTGTTCATAAACACATTTGAAGAAAATTACAGGGAAATGGAATAAAAGATCAGACGTGTTCCACTGTGTTGGATTTACAATATGCTTTAAAAAAATATTTCCCATATTTAATCTTTACTTTCTTTTTGTGTGTGTGCCTCTAAATCTTGCGGGACTTCAATGGTTCCGTCAGAAATTGTTGAATAAAATGAAGAGCATCCTCTGCTCAGCTGTTAACTTCAGCTTGGAATGAACACAGGGAGGACAGTGCCTGTCTGCTGACCGCTCAAACCAAAATGCGAGAAACTGAGCACATTAGGCACAAAAAACAAGATGTTGGACTTTTTTTTTCCTTTTTCAAAGTTAGCTATGCTTTTTTTTCCTCTTTTTTTAGAAACCACCAACATTCTGTTATTCAATTAGAACTTCATCTGACACATAACAGAAGTAAATCTGACTTCCCTTTTTTAAGCAGTTACTTGGGAGGGTTTGCTTTTCACTTTCAGCTGAATAAACTGAAAGACTCTAATGCCACGTGTGGACGTGTGTACAATGACCAAGTTATATCCAGCTGCAGCTTTGCTTTGCACAAACACTTGAAATAACATCATCGCGCTGTTCTTTAAGTGGGTTTTATGAACATTTGTTTTCAGCGGGTTTTGGACAGCGCTAAGCTAGGCGCTCCAGACACAATACTGGTGAAATCTTTTTGGGGTACCCTATAAGCATTATGGGTCTGCTGGCACAACAGATGCTTAAAAGATGGCCAAGTAGTATGGAAGGCAAACGTAACATGTCACTATCTCAGAGCAACAAGCATCCAGAATACCTCGTGGAGCCTGATCGAACATCAATAAAACTCATGCATGAAAAGAAGCACATTGGTTTTGTTTAGAAGGCATTGTTTATTGAAAAAGACTTTTTGACAGATTGTGAAGATGAACTATGCTGTAAAACTTCTGTTTCAACTGAAAGGTCTTTGTTCTGTATGGAAGGTGTGATTTAAAATGGAACGTTTGAGTACACAATACATGTAAAATGCCACTGTATGAACTAAATAACAAGTGGAAGTTTGTAGAAAGCATAAATATTCAGCTCTGAGGGTAATGTATTTTTAAGTTGATAAATGATTTATATGGGAAATGTTGTACATCAGCTTTAAAAGTGTTTGCTTCTTGTCTGAGGTAGTTTTGTGATGTCAGCATTGGGATCTCTCACAGGGCATTTCTTTTATTAACTTCTGTCTTTTTCAGTGACTTTTTTTTTATTATGTAAAAGCAAATAAAAAAAGTGGGTTTAAAATGATAAATTGGATATATCGCTGCAGAGAAACCCCCAATATTATGCTAATCTGATGGATTTTTCCCCTTTGAATAATCAGTAGAAATCACCTAAAGAACACACAGGGAAATTAATTATTTTTAGTTTTTTTTAAGACAAGTAAAACCAAATCCCGAATTGTTTCTGTGAAAATGTAAATACCCTCAGTGGATGTTGATTATTTTCAGGATTATCCGAAATTTTTGCTTCCCCATGGTGGCTAGATAATGGGAGTAGCTGCTGACTGTGAAATATGTTGCACTACACTGAACTGGAGGACTACTGCTTTTGTGTCTCTGACACTGTTATTTGTTTTCCTTTTTTCTGGTGGATGGAAATTTCTTCTGTATATTGTGGAACAAAGTAATGATTTTAACAAAGTTGTCTGACTTAAATGTGCCTCTTGCGTTCATGTATTTGTTTTGTTGAACTATCGCAGCAACACCTAACATTAAAGACACAAAGGGGTACTCTAAGATGGTGTATAACTTTATTGTAAATGGCTTATAGGATCACCATCAGCACAAACCATGAACCATTAAACTAACTTCCCTCTTATAACCACAAGAGGTCAGGATAGAGCAGCACATGACAAAGTCTCATAGACTCCAGTTCTTTTTATAAGAGGTTAGTTGAATCTGAGAGCTGAAGCTTGATACCCTTAAATTGAAGAGTCTAACTTGTGCTGTTTTGTTAGTGGTCCCGTATGGTTAGAACTTTGAGCCTGAGCTTTCAGTGAAATATCATGACCTACAGACAGCAGAGGCATTGTGGAGCCGGTTGAAGTCTTCTCCATGCCCACGGGCCCTTGTCAGCCCCGGCAGAAAAGTCCGAAACGCAGTGAAGCAAACTGCGTTATACTTGCGTGCCTTGGGTTAATCTTATGATTCTCCTCAGCGCAGGAACTAATCTCTGCTAAACTCAGCATAAGCACGCTCTAATCTGAAGAAACCAAAGCTCAAGGTATGTGAGAGTGGGTGTAAAGCTGTCCCCCTACCCTGGTGGTTGGTCCTGGAATACGGAAGCATATGACTGCTGCCCTTGGACTCTGAATATGTGAAAATCAGGTTTCTTGTTACTTAACAAAGAATGTAACGCGACTCATCTTAGATTTTCCGCACAAACATCAGACAAATACCACTTTTGGCTGACAAAAAAAGGTTTCCCTATGTGGACATGTTCATTTGTAGTCAACAACTTGTTATCGTCCTAATCCCATGAACTGTTCAGTCCCAGTTTCTCTTTTTTAATTATTTTATTCCTGTCTGCTGAGGCTTACAAAAGTTTTTGTGATAAAAAAAAAACAGATAGAACCTTTGGGTGCTCAGTAATAATGCCCAGACTGAACCATACCCTTAATTGCGTCTCCATGTGCTTCGTCTTCAGGCAGAAATCAGGTTGTTCATAAATTCCTGCAGTTCTTTCACAGAATGCTTATTGGGTCAGTGTCCATCTGAACCTTCCAACCTATAAATTTGCAACAAACATTGAATATATTAGAGAATTAAAGCAACATATATTGAATTTCAACCTCAACTTTGTATAGATATTCATTAAATGAATTCTCCTGACATGCTTTACAGTTTTATGTATGACAAATGTAATGCCCTACCTTATTCCATTTAGGACCTGTAGCATGTCTATTTTTTTTTGCCGAACTTCTCCATCATACTTCCCATTGCTTACTTCTCCACAACTGTCGTCCTCTGGTTTATAGTCCATGTCAATTCCCTTCTCTCGTTGAGCCCCCCCCCCCCCGTCCAGCTGCTGGCTCAGAGGGACGGGTGTGTTGCAGTACAGCCCTCCTCCTGCTTTGCCTCTCTCTCACTCGTGGCTCAACTCCTGCTGAGCTGGCCTGATCCCTCCAAAAAGCCAGAATGCTCAACTCGTGCAGTAACCGGGGTTTTTTGAAGGGGTTTTGGACGCGTAAAATTCCAAACTGTAGAAACACAAAATGATGTGTTTTGGAAAGCTGGGAATATTAACTTTTTGCTTTTTGGGGTTCTTTACTTATTTGTAACCCTGTTGGCTGATTTTTTATTTTATTTCGATTTTTTTTTGTGTGTGTGAATGATTTTCTGAACCTGCTTCTTCAGGAAATTTTCAATTTGGACATACATTCAATTTATTTAAAACTCTAGATTAAATAAATCCTTTTTGAGCTACTCAGATTTTTACTAATCCATAATTAGATGATTGGATTTCTGAAAATGTGGACCTCTCTAGATTATAGAAGAACTTAATGTATAGATGAGTGAATGTGACTGTTGGGATAAGTAGACCTTTCTGAAGTTTGTGTGAATGCTTGTTTGCTCCGTTGCGTGTGTGTCTGGTTGTGTGTGCATATCTGGTCATGTTGGAAGAAAAGAAGGTCCCTGTTTCCCCGAAACTGAGCACACCATCAAAGATAAGCGGAAGCAAAAACCGGAACTCTGAAGCCGGAAAAACGAGCTGCGTCTCAACCAGCAGCAGCAGCAGCCTCAGTCCTGCACACCGGTGAGAACACACACGTTTTGCTGTTTGTGAGAGTTTATTCTGAGCTCTAGGTGGGATATTTTAGCATAATCAAGTCAGTCACTTGTCATGGAAGAATGAAGGAAAAAAAACAAAAAACAGAAGTGTTTAAAAAATTATTTTAAGGCTACTTCTTGTCACACAGTTCAGAGCTGAAAAGGTGGGACTTGAAACACTCTTCACCAAGTCAACACATCTATCCAGATATTTCTGGCAGCCTTCCTGAGGGCAGATATTCTATCTGTCGAAACATCTGCAGATTGTCTAAAATATCCCTTCTCTGACTTACCAAATGATGGGTCCTGACCCAAAATGCGGTGCAAACACTAACATCGATGATTTGTATTATTTTGTGTTTTGTTCCTTTTTGACCAGATAAGGAATATAAAGGACTTCTTTTTTTTTAGGTGTTCAGTACCAAATGCTCTAGTTCTGTAGTAATATTTTAGAGAGTTTTTTCCCTTATCGATGCACTGAAACAACACTGTGGCTGAGTCAGTGCAGATAGACAGTCTATAGCTGTTAAAAAACGTTTGTTGGCAAGATTTGTCTACATCTTCCATCAGAAACAAAAAAACAGGCCAAACCTCCTTTGTAAAAAGGAAATAAGAGGTGGCTATAAACAGTATGACCAAGAAAATTCTTTTAAGAGTTAGAAAAAATTAGTGGAACTTCTTTAGGACAGAAAACCATTTTGAGGGGGAGAAAAATCCTATCACGTCCTCCCCCCCAAAATGAAGCTTTTGCTGACAAATCAACCAGCTCTTTCAGACCGGTGATGGTACTCCACAGTGAGACATTGTTGGGCCTTACAATCAAATCAAGCAACTCCCAAGTGCGAAATAGTGTTCTGGTGTTAACCTTTAGCAGCTCCACCCTACAGAAAACAATACAACAGAGGCATGTAAACGGGACTATGTTTGTATGCTTCAGGTCATCTTTCTAAATCCGAGGCTTTGGAAGTTTTCCTAAGCTATGAGGCTACAAAGTACCATTAAAGAAGTGCTTTTTGCTTGCTTTATACAGCAATTCAAACATCTAGATTTAGCATTGCATGGACAAAAAGTCATTGTTTGGTTTCCAGCAGATTTTGGTTTATGAGATTTAGGATTTGGATTTGTGTGCTTTTATTTCAACCACGGTTGAATCCAGTGGAGGTTTGGAATGGGCCATGTGTCAACAAATCCACATGTGGATGTGCGTTATCTGGAAAAAGAAGCTGTCAGTGCCTGTATGTGGTCCATTCGGCAGAGGCACGGGCTCTGGAATAGATTTTGGTCACAGTTAAAACCGAAAACATTCAAATCCCAGAAGGTTTTGCTGTCTCACATCACCCATACCCAAGAGGATTTAAACCAGAGGGCCCACGTGTTGGATCAGATGCCATCTAACTATATATAGCGATACTTTTTTTTTTAAGAGTGCTAATATCAGTGTCAGTGTAAAGTCCTGAAGTGAGCTTGAGCCTCAAAACAGTTTTTAATAGTTTCCCCTGTCAGCTAAGGCATTAAATACTGTGATCCTGTTCCTGTGATCCTGATAGTCACTGCTCCATGCCTTTAGCTGCCCACCAGTCCAGGCTGGGCTCTGATGGGATGAGAGTACTAAGTGAATAAGCGCAAGAAAACTCATTATATGTGACGGTAATAGAGGAAAGGCTAGACAGGATCATTTGGAAGTGACATATAGATCAGCCAAAAGTGGATACAAGTCCGGATTAACGGCTCTGTAGGAATGCGTTGATTTCATTAAAGGTGTGAAATAGCTATGGTTTGAAGCAAGGCCTTACTCTGAGCTCTGTCTCTGTGGGTAGACAGCTGGATTTAGCAGTGTTTGTGTGCATGTGCTGAAGGTACCCTCTATTTTTCTCAATGTCTTCCTTGTCTGCTGTCTGCAACAGCTGTGAAATGATTCCTCTGTCAATTTCCTTTGTACTCTTTTTCCAGACTTTACACATATATATATATATACATATGTATATTTTTATATAGAAAATAGTTTTATCAAACTTAAATTTAACTGATCAACTGCCTGTTTTAAACGAGAACTTGATATTTTTTTCTGTGTTCACTGATCAAAGTAGCTTGGCCTTGGGAAGGGGATCGGAGGGGGTCAGATACTGCCTTCAAACGTAAGTCTTGTGTTATATTCCATTCCTGAGATTTCTGTTTTGGAATTCCACAATTGGAAACCCAAGAAAGACTCAGGAGACTCTGATCTCAGTAAGTTTAAAAACCCACTGACCTTTATATGTCCTTCCCTCACTAATTTAGCCTACACATGACCAAAGACCTCATAAATGTTTTAGAGGGTCTCAGTTTTACGGTGGGATTGAACAGGTGGCCGGGAACATTCAGCTGCTGCTTTTTGTCCATCCTGTGCCTCCTGTTTTTTTTATTGTTTCTTGATGTTCTCTCATCAATGCTTCCGTTTCTTCCTGAAGCCCGGGCCGTTGTCCGTCAGTGTGCTGTTCCCTGGACGCTTTGCTCTCCACCACCTGTCGGCTGTTAACTATTTAACACGGTGTTCCAGACCATGTCCCTGCAGCCTGCTTTTTTAACTGGTTACAATGGTACAAGTTTAGCATCACAGAGGAGAGCCAGAAAAATGTTTTCTGGTCAGCTGATCGATTTGTTCTATGTTTGATGTGAGCAATGCACAGACAGCATTAGGACAGCCTAATAATAACGATAATGATGAGACCTATAAAGGGCAGTAAACACTATCGTTAAAAGAGAAAAAAACTGTTTAATCAAGGTGATGAGAGGGTTTTGATTTTTTTTTATAGAAAATTTTCACAATTACTAAATATTAGAAGGCAAATTAAACTGGATACAAGCAACAACAAAAAAAAAAATCAAAAGCAACTTGTTTGGAGTGTAAGAAAAAAAGTTCAACCTATCTTCAAGAAAACATTTCAGCAAGCCCATCTCTGTTAGACACCATTTACAAGGGTTTATGTGGTCAATACTACTTAATAGAAACTAATTCTGCATTGAAAATGTTGAGCTGTGTTTTATCGAAGGATAAACAGCTGATATCCTGTTGCAGAGGGGCATTCTGGAAAATAAAGACTGAGGATTATTCTTTACAAACCAGTTCAAGATTAGCACGATTAGCTTCTTTGC